GGGGGGGGGGCAACATCAATGCAAGGCAGGCAAGCTAAGCTGCTAATTTTAGCTTAGCTCATTTCTCGAAAAACTAAAGATTCAGACGTGTGCTGAAGTGCTGCATCTTGGTAATTACATTGTAAAACAGACAAAAATGAACTTGCAAACACAGAGAAAGAGCCAGCTGGAAGAGCTTTAATGTGCCAAAAGCTGGTACTTATGGTTAAATCTGATGAACATGGGCCAAAGAGATACTGTAGGCTGATGGTGGAGTTTGTTGGGGCACTAAACTGGAAAAAAAAGAATAAAAATGTGGCAATAAATTTGACATCAAAGTGCATTGCAGAAAAACCTTTCATGGAGCGTGTACTGACACATGTAGCAGATTAAAACGACACGAAGAAAGCCAGTAATAATAGATTAAATATGTGAGGTGAGAATGTGCTAATGAGGCATATTAGTACGTTTTCATGTTTGCCCTATTTGCATCTCATCATGAACTCTACTGCGTAATCACATAATGTAGTTACTGATGTCTGAACCTTCAGTCACTGTGAAACTGTGCAGAAAAATCAGTGTCCTCTAAAACTTCTTTATCATTGAAGTACATCACGAGTCTGTTATATGATGACACTCCATTCAATGTTGTTTTTAAATACAAATGTAAAGCATGGATGTATTTAGTGCAGCAGTGTGTGAAGCATCAAACTGAATGTCTCTCTGAAGATGTCCTCTGAGCTGTTTCACACTGATGATTCATAATGTGTGTGTAGGCACAGTGTGAAACATGCAGGCCATTCTGTGTGCTCGTTCTCTTTTAGAAACCTTCTATTTTTTCTCTAATAGAGAGGGTTTGTTTAAAGGTCGGTTTAATCAGATCGGTCAGGTAAGAAACAAAAAAAAAAAAAACGTTTTTTCTTCACTATTTCTTTTGACATAGAAAAAGTTATCCTCTCCAAAATGCTTCAGATCCTCATTTCCTTTTTACGTGTTTGTGTAGAAACATCGTCAATGACACTGATTCTGCTAGCAAAGTGTTAGTCTACGTAAAGGAAGTGTGTCGATAAAATTGACTGAGTATTATAATGGACAACATTTCCCGTCTCCTTCGGTTGTAAAAACATTGTTTTAAGACATAATGACCCTGAGATGAACTGACATATTGCTCCTGTGACATCATATTGAGCTGAGAGATACACAAATTGGTGCTGGTTGGTGGAACTGGAACATTAATGCCACGTCCCTTCGCCTAAGCCGAGCACACATTTAACATCAAAGACCCCTCAGGTGGGTACAGTCTACAGCAGGACAGATTCTTGTGTCGGTTTGAAGCACACACTCACGATTATGGAACGTTAAATGTCTCTTGTTTTAGTGCTCAGCACTGGCAGTTTCCACAGGATCTGATTGCGCCCTCTCAATTCCTGCGTTTCCAGTGCAGCGGTCTGTCTCCAAAGCGTGGCAGCAGCGTCCCTCCACTTTGCTCAATTCCATTCAAGTACGCTCAATTATTTGACGGAGCCCGCTGCAAGCATGCGTCGTAAGTGGAGTAAACAATGGCGTCTGCATAGCCGTAAAGCCAAGCTTACGTTCCTTGTACTCCGGTCGGTATCTCCTTAAAGGCTTTATATGCGATTTTTCACACTTAAATATAATAGAAATCAAGTATATCCTCTGAAAATAACTCTGTGAGTCATGACTGTCTACAATGAGTGTCCCCAGTCCCAGTCCAGCTGTCTGTGATGTTTTCCGAGCCGTATCTACACTTTGTTTACATCGCCGGGACAATTGAGGGACAAGAGAAAAGAAGAATAACATACTGTACTTACTGCTTAATTGAATGTCACGTAAGCATTTCTAGATCACACTCATTTCAGGTAAATTTGCAAGCAGTGTGAAGATACGAGCATAATAAAGATCGCTAGCATTAGCATGCTAACACAACAATACAGCGCGAGTTGTTTTGGTTTCATGCTGGTGCTCAAGGGCGACATCTGCTGGCTCAAAAAATCGCATATTCTTCCTTTAAAGAGGCCACACTGACAGGCATCTCCTGTCGCTAACAGACTAACTATTGACAGTACTTCATACAACCCCACTTCAAAACTACCAAACTATCCCTTTGAAGATTGTCAGCTGATCCCTGTTTTCTATTTGTTCTCTATTTAACACATTAACAACTTAATACTGGTGTGCGTGCTTGGCCAGGTCTTAAAATACAGATTATTCTGAAAGTCCTGTAAAGGTTGAATCAATATGAGTTGAAGTTCTACTTTAAACATCGTGCATGTTTTAGTGCAGCATCAGAGAAAGGGAGTGCTGTGTGGGATGAGTTTGGGTAGTAGCGATGCAGAAAGTTTGACCCCTAACATGCAAATGTGGAAGTGAAGTGAAGCTGCAGCTCTCATGGAGCGCTCTGACATTTTATTATTCAAATCAGACGACTGCTTTTGTTCTCTGAGGCATGGAAATCAATACAGGACTTTAATCCACACACACATTTACACTCCTCTGGAAACTGTTTTCTGCTGAGTATGTGTCATACAAAGTTTACAGTCTGACACTTTTCACTATATAACTTTGTACTTAACATAACAAAGTTTTTTTGTGCATACATATTTGTGTATTCATCTGTAAAAGTCCTTAAGTTCAATTGTACGACTATTTACAAGAAGGGAGCTCTTGTTTGTGGGTGTGTGTATGTGTGCGTTGGTGTGTGAGTAGTCTCCTGTCTCTGTAAAAGACCTGTTTGTTTGTCATGACCTTCACAGACAGAAACACACACATACACACACACACACACACACACACACACACACACACACACACACACACACACACACACACACACACACCAGCTGTTTTTGGATGATGTGTGTGTATGTGTGCCACACAAAGACATCATGGTTCTCATGTAACCAGAGAGCATTATGCTGCCATAATACACACACACACACACACACACACACACACACACACACACACACACACACACACACACACACACACACACACACACACACACACACACACACACACACACACACACACACACAGGTTGAATTGAGGACACTGAACGATGACAGTGGAGTTTTAAAGAGCTGCAGTTTTTGCTTATTTTTTAAACCACAGCCATATTTTTATATATTTTGTGTCTAAACGACCACAACTTAATTTTCCAGGATAATTCACCTGATGCAAGGACATTCAATAAAAACTTCTCCAGGCTGAGCACCGTCTATCACCAGCCTAGTTTGAACATTTCTGATTTAGGTTGAAGTTACACCTTAAATCTTACACCCAGCTCCTCGTAGGTGTTAAATCCTCTTTAAAATATGGTTGTCATGGTGAGGGTTCTGAAAGGTGGGGTAACTTTGAGGAAGAGGAGGAACCGAGGGTTTCAACGACGTTCGTTTTCAACGAGTGGAGATCATTATATCTTGAAGAATAACTTTACCAAATGCTTAGTTGAAGATTTCACCGCTCAATATCGCCGTTGTTATTTTACACTCGCTGTAGTTGTTTTTAGGCTTATTTATAACTTACTCATAATGCTTTGTCATATTTTACGTTCATTTTTGTCGCTGTATGTGGATTAACGTCCGTTAACAGAAGTTATTTTCAGCTGTTCCTCTGTTGAGAGATAGTTTGGCACAAGAGGAAGCACTAAATTAATTAGTTATGTTTGACTGTGGTGTTTCTCAGGATACAGGATGCATCTGCTGGACTAGTCCTGTGTTCTTCAAAGCATTATTACTGCCACCCGACTGCATTCAAAAGAAACACACATTTTATCAAACACAACACAAAAAGGTGCCCGGAACAATATTTCTTGTTTCTATTTTTATCTGCTATTTTCCTGGATCTAAGCAAACCCTTTAACCCCCCCCCCACACACACACACACACACACACACACACACACACACACACACACACACACCCCCACACACAAACACACACGCACAAACACACACACACCCACACACAAACACACAAAACAACAGGTAGAAGAAACTCAGGTGTACCTATGCTTCTCTCAACCATTAAAAACGTAGCACACTTTATTTATGGCTAAACACTGTAATTCATTAGAGCTTAGTTCTAAAATCGTGTCTTAGTACTCAGGTCAGGTGAGGAGGTAACCCAGGGTGAAAGGATTTGTCCGACCAAACTCCACCCTCCATCAGGGAGACCAAGGCCATTCGAGTTGTGGGTTTAATTTGTGAAGACTCAATGATGTCTGGTCTATCTGACTCTGATCTTTTATATCGTTCTGAATATTCATGATCTTGAATTGTGTTTGAGTTCCAATCGTCTGGAAGAGGTCAGACAGGCCAATTACTTTCCCAGCTGGTCTCTTAAAGGTGCACCGATCAGACTGCTTAATATTTGTCTTTGGAGGTGGTCCACCGAGTCAGAGTCGGTCATCACAATCATAAATCGTTGCTATCTTGGCACAGTAACGTTGGTCCCTCCTCCTCTCCTCTCCTGCAGCCTAAATGTGATTTATGAATGTCCACTTCAGGGCGTCTGCTGCATGTCCAGCTAAGAGTCGGCCTCACTAATTGAATCTTTAGCTACTGACAGAATTTGTCCAACAATGTTAATAAGAAGAAACAGAAAGCAAGTGAAGATTACGAGCTGAGGATGGAATCTGTGTGTATGGTTGAATTCAGACAATACTTTGTGGTATTGATTTGATATAAACTGTAAGTTTGCGATCAGGAGGAGTCGTCGAGTGTGGAGAGGTTTTGGCAGCAGCAACGATAAGCGGATTCTGCATGTTTAGCACACTGGACATCCTTCACACTCCGATGTAATGAATCGATTTGTGATAATTGGCAATCTATTTCACAGAGTGATCCCCAAGCACAGAGAAGGGAACCGACAAGAAGAGTTTCACAGTAAAGAACCACGACTGAGGTTGACCTTGTAGGAACTTGGCTCGAGTTTTGCAGGTTTTACTGGATGAGCAGCACAAATAATGGTCTCTATGTTCTTCCTGTTTTCCTGCAGTGGGTGCTGGCCTTTGAGATCTTCATCCCACTGGTCCTCTTCTTCATCCTCCTTGGCCTGAGGCAGAAGAAGCCGGCCATTCCTGTCAAGGAAGGTGAGCAGACTTATCACAACCTGAACATCAGGGGATAAGTCTTATAAACAAAATCTACAACATTGATACAATGCTATCATTCTCAAAGGGAATTTCACTTTTTGGTGACCTGGGGCATCATTTTGATGTAATTTGGGGTCAACAAATCTAGAATCGTTAACGTTGACCGCTTCAGTTGGCAGTCATGAGAAGAGCTGTAATGGTTTCAGCGTTATATTTCATGTAACACTGACGGGCTCAGATTGTTTTGCTAAATGTCTAAATGTGAAATGTGTTTAAGAAAAGTTCTATTGCTTGCTTCAAAGTCACCAGACTCCACACATATCAACAGTTATTTATCTTGCTGAATGCTTCCTCCATTTGTCATGTTTTGTTTTGTATTGTTTAGCAATTTAATTTTTAAAGGGCCTTTGTCTGTTAACAATGTTTTTTTTTTGCACTGGCAGCGCCCATTTTCTCTACAGAACCAATGCAGTTCAGAGTTTTGAGAGAGTTCAGCATCCTACTCACAAAAGCACCCTCAGTGTCCGCTGATTTTTGTCACAGCGCTCACAGTTGAAAACAGTTAAACTTTTGGAACATCACTGCACTTATCAATGTCACTACTCCCTCGCAGACCAATCAAAGTCATGATTCTACATCCATTGTCCCGCCCCTTGCATTGAGACATTACTTTTACTATTGATTTTTGACTTTGTACTCATATCGACCTCCACATTTGTAGATGTTGCTGTCTGGCTAAAAGGCTGCCTCCCAGAGCCTAAAGCCTGCCGTGAGCAAGGGAGAAGGAAGTCATGTTAAAAAAAAATCAGTAAAAGAAAGATACAAGACATATTGTGTTATTGTTTCACATTTCACTCTAAAAACGAATAAACATGTCTATAGCTCCATATGTGCTAGAAGGAGTTAGATTTATGCGTGAAGCCATTTGTGGACTCAGGACCTGAAGGTTGACCTTTGAACCAACAAACTACAACTAAACAAACCCACTCACTGATATAGGCAGAAGTCCTGTGTCTTGAGAGGTCAAAGTATTGCTTCTGTCAATGGAGTCAAGTGGCTTTGAAGAGAGAGATGTAACAGCTGATTCTGGTTAATAAAGAGGATCTTAATCTTAATAAACTACAAACTGCTGGAGACACATTTGAGTTGATGGCTGCAATGGTTTAAAGGTCATTGGCTCAACATCTGTAGACTTGATACTTCACTTCACTTCACTTGATACTTACTATCGACTTGGAGACATTAGTATGAAGTTTCAGTTCGTAAAGATTGGTACTAAAATCCTGACTTAGAGTCATTTGTCTACATGTGAAGATGATGTTGCACATGTGGAACCGTTGCAGTGAGGTGTGGGTGGGTTCAGGATGATCAGGATTGCACTGACGGTGTTGAAATAACATTTTCTGTCCTTCTCTCCTCATAAACCTGCATTAGCGTTGTTGTTCATTTAAATACAGAAGGTGAACACTTCTGCTGAGTCATGTTTGCCTCAGATGTGCCTGCAGTCATAAAGACGTAACTGATGCATCTGCTGCTGTTACCAAATGTGACTCTCACCATGTGCTGTACTGTTTGTGTCACCTTCTAGTGTTGTGTTGTTGTGCTGGTTCATGTTTGACTTTGTGTCACGTCCACTCACTGTAGCAGTTCACTTTTACGTTGATGTGTTTTTTTTTGTCATTTTCTTCACCGTTTTTTTTTGTTTGTTTCTGTTGTCTCATTTCTTCTTCTCTGAATGTTTTTTTTCTTTCTGTGCGTGATGCATGTTCACAACATGTCGGATGGAGCAGTGTGTAAGTGTCCTAATCATTTAGTTTGACACCTGATCCACTCATGAAAACATCTTCTGGTTGATTTAACCCTGACGTGTTAATCCTTGCTTGGGGTGTGTTTTGTGTCTGTCTGTTTACACCAAGTGTGTGATCTAACCCTGAACTATACAACACACCGTGAACCTGTGCATTCAGTCACTCAGAGACTCACAACAATTGCTTCTAAAATTAGAAATCTTCTCAGCAAGGTATTTACTCCTGAAGAGTGAGGTCTCTTCCCTGAAGGTCATAATCTTACATACTTAGGAATGTATGCCTGCATGCTCAATGATTCCTAATAAAACAGTTGCAGTGATTTCCAATCTTCATGACCTTTTTAATCGATAGTTTTTGTAATTAACCCACGGATATGAACACAGACAGACTGTCCAGTAACAGAATGTAGCCATTGTGAGCGAGCAGCAAACAATAAGTATATATTTACAGCCTTTACCTCAGCTAGAGAGAGGTAGAGCGAGCTCATACAGATGAATGAGAGTGAGGGAGCGTGTCACAGAAGAGGAGAGACAAGAAACTATAACTTGGTTTGGTCATCTGTTTTTATGTGAACAGATGATGTAAGTATGTGAACAACACTGCAGATGATATAGTCTCTGTTAAAGGTCACATATTATGCAAAATACACTTAAACATGTTTCTCTAACATTATGGACTCCTGAGTCTGGCAATAAAGATGATGATGATGATGATTAATATGTGTCTCTAGTCTGTCAAGAACCCCCCCAATAATGAGAAAAGTCCATCCTCTCTGACTTTTGCATGCTCCACTTTTCATTAAAGGTCTACTCAAACAGGTCGTTTGAAGATTTTCCCTTTGTGACATCACAAAGGGCAGTAACCCCTCCCCGAGGTGGGTGACACTCCCACAGCTAGGTGTTTGTTCTGTCCTCTGAGTCTGACTTCTCACCGTAAACAATAGGGCATTGAGCAAGAACGCCGAGCCACCAAAGCCCTCCCAGAGAGGGGTGTGGTCAAACAGCTCATTTACATATTTAAAGGTACAGACACAGAAACAGCCTGTTTATAGCCCGGTTTATAGGCATGATCAAATACAGGATAAGAGTGGATTTTGAGTAAGAAACTTCACAGACATGTTTTAGGGAGCTGTGAGACGTATTTCAACTGGTTGAAAAGGAGGATAATGTGACCTTTAACAGTTACCGTTCATCCTCTCATCATCTGTATAAAACGAAGGCCTCCTCACTTCTCTGTTCATTATAAAAGATGAATTATAAAATTATGAAAGCTGAATATACACTGCTGAAAGTGTGACGTCATCATTTTATATGACCCCCAACTCAAACTATGACTCACTTCCAGTGTCCCTGTGCTCTCTCCAGCAGCAAACAGAAGGTGCAAACAGCATAGAAAGTAAACATGGAGGAGACTCTGGAGAGGGCTGCTGTCACCCAGTCCTCGCTGAATGTGACGCCAGAGTTTGACGCTCTCTTGCTGTTAGAACATGGTGTCAGGGTAGTGTTGTAAGCTCAGATGTACTGATGAAAGTTTGATGCTGCTTGTATTGCTAACCTAGCTTACTTTGCGGCCTCAATCAGCTCAGATAAAACAAAACACTGCATACACACATAAAGACCCGCTGTGGCTAAAAGATGCTTCTGCTACATTTTCTAGTTTTCTTTCTTCTTTAAATTTTCCAACAGGAGAATGATGAGAAATTATCTTAACAGGAATCAAGCTGTTATTTTGTTGTCACTCTGCTCGACACCCAGTCTGTGCAAGATCTTAGAATCTGTGACTTAAATGTCTCAAGATCTAAGAGTGTAGAAGAAATACTTTTGTTGATCTTAGAGGGGAAATTCCAGTTTTTCACTCTGTTAATGAACATGCTACACATACACACGGGCCAGGAATACACAGGAGTATACAAACCAAAGACTGTAAATATTAATGGATGAAGTCTGAGTGACATCACCCATCTGTTACTGCAGGGGGCTTTGGAAGCTCATCGGTTGCTGTCGCCATGCTGGAAATGCTCTCACCCTAACTTTCAGTCAACCTTAAGACACGTTAAGAGCGAGAAAATATATATATATATATCATCTGCTAAAGACTGTAACATCACCTGTGCATCTCATATATGAGATGCTAAAAGTAAGTCATAATCATAACCTCAGAAAAAGATCTTTCTCTCAGTGATTGAAGCCTTTTGTTGTTTACTTAACTCTCATCTGTTTTTTGAGTCTCTGAATGACTGAATTTGGGGTTCTAACTATCTGTGTTTGTACTGATATACAGTAATTATAATTGTGTGTGTTCCTCTCAGTCCTGATGCATCTCGTTCGCTGTGAGCTGACAGGGGCTCTATCACCATCAAAGCCTCTTTTGTTAAAACACTTACTTTTAACAACACCCTCTAACAACACTGTGTCAGGACAGAGAGGAACACACTTAAACTATATGAAATGAACTAATCGACAACTCCCACTTTCATCTTTTTAAACAAATGGGCTGCACAATAAAGTTAAATTATGTCACTGATGACTGTTTCATGCCAATGTTTCTTTTAACATTTGAAAAAAGCCCTCACTGTGCTCTGCAGGCTCTTGAATTATACAAACATACACATTTCTTCTTCTGACTCAAATGTGCTGTCCCTACCTGTGTGTCCTGGTGTGTGATTAATTTGTGTGTAAATCATTGAATCTACTAAATGTACAGCTGATGTATTAATCTAATAAATTGTTCTTTATCTCCTCTAATTCTTGTTTCATACTGCAGGATGTGAGGGGGGGAGGGGGGGGATTCTAGTATCTTTAAACCTCTACCCTTATTTTGTTCACATATTTAAGGGTTTACATGACATGAATGTGCAACAAGTTTTACATTGATTCACCCTGCAGACATGAAAATGACTGTAATGACTGCAACATAATCTTTTATTGCAAATATTGAAAGTTCTTGTTTTTCACTAGCAGCTTCGATTGATATTCTGAGTGTCTGGCACCATTATCAGAAGAGTCCCAACATAGACAGGCTTTTTTTTTGTTAAAATTAAAGTTAAAAGAGCCATTGACAAAAACAGTGAATTTGCCTCAAACAGGAGTCCACGGCTTCTTTGACTAGCTGCTTGGTTTAAAGTCTTGTATGATTTTAAAGTTGAATTGGTTATCTTAGCTCCAAAACAATAACAAAAAAAAACACCAACAAACTAATTTAACTTGGTAGTAGTTCAATGTCATCAACCATATTAGCGAGAAAACAAGTGTTTAGTCAGTGGGGTTTGGTGTCTATGAAGAGACTGGTGTAACAGCTGTTCCTGTTTAAAAAATCATCTTTCTCTTCATCAAAAAGCTCCACCTCTGTAGGGATCCTTTGTATGTTGTTGTCAGACATGAAGGGTAACTATCTGAGCCTGTCAGGGACAAAAACTTAACTTGTCTTGCAGCCATTTTCACATTCCAGCTTAAGCAGGCTGCTGTGGCAATTCAGAAACTTGTTGCACCTTTTAGTCAGTAAGTCGTAAACATATGTATTAATAAGGCTCAAATGACATAATAAGATAATTCCCCTTTAACAATGTCTCTCCAGTTTCCATATTCAAAGCTCCTGTGAGGAATTTTTGGCACCTTATGTGGACAAAACGGTATCTTACTGTATATCTCTTTGCTGATTTTGTCCTTTACAAGTTTGTTTGATAACCAGAAAATCTCATCCTGCTTTATTTATACAGTCAAGAGTGTCACTCATCAAAAATCTGTCTTAGGAACATGTGGGAGAAAAATAAGGCAGTTTAGTCAGCGTGCTGTTAATCACTTCATCTGACCCCCATCCAGTGATTTCAGGCATCAAAACTAACCATGTAGAAATAGTCATCCATGTCCATTATAGGTTCATTGACCTTTGACGGTAAAACAGAGGCAGTGTTATTGATTTTAGTAAGTTTCATAACCAGCTAAAAATTCTTCACTGGAGCTTTAACTAAATGATGGATTGTGATTAACGCTTTAAATTGATGATTTTTATTCTAAACGTTCAGAGAAGACACACGTCAATGACCTGAATGAACACACCTACTTTATGTTATTATGTTTAGTGCATCACTTACTGTAACTATTCAAATACAATATTAAAGTACAAGCTGTTTATAGCTTGATTTCCTTTCATTTCTCATAAAAAAACACTTTTGTCTGATTAAACCTTTTCATAAACTGGACTATTCAGAGTTAGACTATTTACTGTGAACTTTTTTAAAATCTGTTGAATTGGTGAACTTTTGACAACTTCAACAACAAGTTCTATACAGGCCATGCAAATGTGAGTTCTATAAATATCTGGTGCACATTTTCAACACAAATTAACTCATAAAGTCAACAAAGACGTGCTGCATATAATTAGAACGATGCCGAACGGGAGAGTTTAATTTCTCCTGAGAGTTAATCAAGCTCTCAAAGCCACTCTCTGGCTTTATCTTCTCACCGTCTGTTCTGCTTATTCTGCTCAACTCTCTGAGGTTGTTAAAAGGGTTCACATTGTGTTGAACTCAATCCTTTAAAAAAATCTGGTTTCTGTCCAGAAAAGAAGTGCATTTTATCCATCCAAGGTAGAAATAGTTCTGTTCTCAGTCAGAAAGCTGTTTGGGGAATTTTCTTTGGTGCTTAAATCAAAGGTGTTGATTTACTTCAAACCACCTCAGTGAGACAATCTCTTTTACAAAAAGAGCCCTGGATGGTTAATATCCAGAGGAGGGCCATAAAAACAATACATAGGTAAGAGAATAAAATAAACATGAGTAAAACATATAAGGGGAAAAATAAGTAGAGATAGGACCAATCCAAACTAATATCGGTATTGGGTGTGATATTGACATAATTTACATATTGGATATTGTAGTGACGGTGCAGATCCACGTCACCGATTAATAAGACCATTGGGCGCTTCGAACAATCTCAGCTCGTGCTGTCTGACTTTGAAGACATTCACATTGAACTGTAAGAAGTGCCAAATCATCTCCATGACGACGTTCAGACGAGACGGAACAGCTCCTTCTAAATGTTCAAAAGTACAGTTATTACACTTCAGTATCAAGATTAATTTGAGTTTAAGTTGGTGATTCCTGTTTGTGTGTGAAGCCAGCACAAAGTTCAAATTCATTTATTTGGTATAGGGATCTTGTCTCAGCTTTTGGGTTAAAAATATGACAAGTGAATATATCATTGATCATTAATTGAATGGATGCTGTAGAGTTTTAAAACTTGTGGTATCAAAAAAGTATCAAAATATTGAAAGCTATCACAACCTTGTGTGATACAGTGACAGATCGTCTGTCTTTGTTTTTTAACGGATGATCAGGATGATAAAAGACAAACGGGCTGGGGGGAAAGAGAGTGTTTTTGTAGGCGAACATTCAGCCTCCTCTCTCACAGACAGGCTTAAACACAACAGTTACCATGGTAACATCAGCTTATTATTCATGGACACATAGGAATAAATCTCTTAGTCCATATTTTCATCATTTAGCTCCAAAGTGATGAAAGGTGTGTGTTTTCAGCGTTAATATGTGTGAGCCTCTCTGACCGTTAGCTGCTGTGTGTCGTCTCCTCGTCTCTGACTCTAACACAGAATCTCTGCCTCTGTTTTTTCCTCCTCATGTATCTCCTCCTCCTCTTTTATCCTCACCTGTCTCCTCTAAATTCTTTTTCCCTCCGTCCCCCATCCTTCCCCTGGTCTGTGGTTTTATATTTTCTCGGTTTTGTCCGTCCTGTCCCTATGTGCAGCCTTTTACAGCGCTGCCCCCCTCACCTCGGCCGGCATCATTCCCATCATGCAGTCTCTGTGCCCAGACGGACAGAGGGATGAGTTCGGCTTCCTGCAGTACAAAAACTCCACGTGAGTACATTCTTTGTCAGCGATGAATTATCAGTTACATAACTTTATTTATAAATACATTCTTAGTGGGCAGGACCAAAAAACATGAGCATGGTCAACCATTCGCTCTCCACATTCCCCTCAGATGAAGAGCCGAGTGACACTTTGTTTAGATTTCTGTTTGGGAGCGTTACAAAAGCTTTACAGGTTTCTCCAACAGAAGTCTGTCCAGGTCCAGAAGTTTGAAGATGACGACTTTATCGTCATGTCTCCACATGTCTTCAGTTATTTAAATGTTGAGCTATTTTTTCTCCTTCCTTTTTTATAGTCTGTTTTGTCCTTGTTCTGTGATGTGATGTGATGTCATGATAACTTGCTTATTAGACCCTTATTGTCACCTGAGATGTACACAAATATCTGAATAACAGCTGGTGACTCTCTTGGGCAAGAGCCCATTCACTTCTTTTTACAAAAACAAATCAAATTCACACATTATTTATGTGTCTCTGTCTACTAATGTACAGTATATGTTGTTCTTTTGTCATTAGTTATTGTATTGGTTGTGCTTGTCATCATGGTTTTATGTAACTTGTTTTCCTGTTTACCACCGATCCACTACAGATGGATATTAGTCTATGGCTATAATCTGGCATATTTAAATTTTTTGTTTCATTAATGTGCACTGTCCCTATTTTAAATAAATAATTAATAAATAATTACCTGTCAAGGTCCTGCCTGTCCAGCTCATACAGACTTTGTACAGAGAAAAAGAACAGGTGACCTTTCAGGGTGCTGTTTGCTGATTGTATTACATTTGAATAGAAAAAGGCTGTTTTTCCAATTTTCCCATCATTTTGTAAAGGACATTGGACTTATTTTTTTGTCATAAAGTATAAATACTATCACCAAATTTTTAACTGAGATACGGGTCCAGTTAAAATCAAACCATATGGATTCCTGCTTTGATACCATGGCAACAAAACTAGAAGTACAAGGCACCCAATGTTTAGGTAGCTTCTTTTATTTGATTACCAAGAATTGCAGGTAACATTTTAGTACCAACATTAACAAAGTATTTTGTTAAGACAGTTTAGACAATGCTCTCTCTCTCTCTCTCTCTCTCTCTCTCGCTCTCTCTCTCTCTCTCTCTCTCTCTCTCTCTTTCACGGCAGGATTTTTAGTTCTAGTATCAAAGTATTGACATTTTGACGACCTTTTGACAATCTTTTTTCCCAGTTGAAGTTTGTTAATTTATGTTTCAGCTGAACGGTGTAATGAAGAAAAGGATGAATGTTATTTATTTCTTATACGTGCAGATTTAAAAAGTTCTTTTGACTCCCTCTGTCAGTGTGAGCCAGCTGCTGGAGCGGATCAGTGAAGTGGTGGAACAGAATCGACTGTTCACGTCGGACCGGCCCGGTTTGGGTCAGGAGCTGGAGACGCTGCAGCAGCACCTGGAGAGCCTGAGCTCGTCTCCTTTACCACCAGACTACAACTTCAACAACAGCCAAGGTCTGACTATCAGCCTGATTTAACTGATGTGCTGCTGTGATGACTTTCTCTGTCTCAGGTCTTTGTAACTTTACAATGAAGTCGTGAAAAGCACCGATGCAGAGAGACGCTGTTTGCTCTGCAGCGCAGATAGGGGTACATTTAACTCTTAGTGTGTGTTTTGTGAATCAGACGTTGTATTGTTGTCTGCATTTGCACAGGTTTGTAAGACGCAATAGCAGCAGAAGTGTCATCTGTTTATATGGTCTGTCAATGATATATTTTTGTTCAGAAAAAATGTACTGCATCTATAAAGTCTGAATGGAAGTTAAAAAACAGTAACAGAAAGATGAATATTAAATCATTATTTGTGTGTGTGTTGTGTGTGTGTGTTTGTTGTGTGTTGTGTGCAGGCTTCACCCTGGCCAGCGTGTTTAGGAACCAATCATCTTTCCAGCAGTTTCTTATGAAGAATCTTTCTCTGTCGGAGTCCACCAGCAGCCTGCTGCTCCACACTCCCATCAGCCTCAGAGAGGTGAGCACACACACACCTCTTTAGCTCAGTGAAGGCCAATGTCAATCATTCCATGTTAAATAATGATCTTTCCTGCTGATTCATTCAAATTCTCTAAAATATTAAAAGGGACATATTGTGAAAAATTGCACAGGTTGCACTGTTTGAAAAGGTGGAAAAGGGGGATAATATGTGCTCTAAAGGTTGTTGTCCCCACTTAAGGCTGATTAGTGAATTTGCAGAATCAGAAAAAAAAAAAAAAGGGATGCATGTCTGAAAGTGGCCTCACATCCTCTTCAAACACATTTTCAGTCCAGTCGTCCAGACAGAGACATTTAAAAGATGAGCATTTGTCTTCTCCACTTCTGTCGTCTCCTGTTTGAGTGAATCACATCTTTATACACTGAAACACAAATAATTCATGTCCATCTCAGCAGCTGCAGGGTCTGAAGGAGTTAACCAGCAGCTGTGCTCATTAAAGTCATCACTGAATGATAACGTACACACACTGATGTCTGCAGTCAGGATGAACATTACTGTAGCTTTAGTTAATCAACCCAAACTATTGTCCCGTATTTAAAATAATCAGTGCAGCAGTGAGAGCAGGCGGGTGTCTGCAAACATCTGTTTCAGGGAGACAAAGCTCTGAATCCATTAAAACAAACTTCTAGTGGTTTAGTAGAAATAAAAAGCATAAAATTGTTCAACTTTTTATCAGCAGGAGGTTGTTAGTGGTGAAATATATTTCACTTTAAACCTTACAACCTAGGGTGTCACGGTTTACAGTGGTCAAGGCTTGGTTGACACAGAGGTCAACATGAAAAACATCTCCTGGTTTGATTAAGAAATGTAAGACAAAATAGAAGATGTGCCTTTAGGAACAATGTGTTATATCTGTGATTAACTTGTGAGTGTGGGACGTTTGAATGCTCCTTCTAAAGGTTCATAATGAATACTCCAAGTTGATGAAGTGTGCGATCATGGTGAGATAGCTTTAAGTGAGACTGGAGGTCCATCCATCTGTTGTTAGTGAACAGCGGGTTACTCAGGCTCAATCATGTACGTCAGTAAAGGAACACACACTGGGTTATGTGAAGATGTGATGGGACAGTGTGACGAGGTTTGAGTGCTTGAAATACACACTTGAAGCATTTGAGTGCACAGCCCTAGAAATGTGTTGGCAGGATGCAGACGGCCTAGTGGTTAGGTCACACGCTGTGTATGGAGGCTTTAGTTCTCCAAACCCGTGGCCCGGGTTCAAGTCCGGCCTCTGGCTGCTTTCCAGCATGTCATACCCCACTCTCTCTCTCTTTACCCAATATCCTACTTTATCCACATTCCTGTCAAATAAAAGAAAAAAGCCCCAAAATAAAATCTTTAAAAAATCTTTATTCAATCAATCAGTCAGTCGATCATTATTTGTATAGCGCCAATTCATAAGTGTTATCTCGAGACGCTTTACAAAATAGCACATGGGATAATATGCAGACAGGATTTCTCCTTTGTATTCCTCGTGTTCCTGTTGTCCACACTTACTTGCTGCTGAGGTGGAGGTCAGAGCAGGCCGTACAGGAATGAGGACGGCGATGGATTAGGGGAGGAAACAGCCCGATGGTGGTGGCTGGGCTTATTGGCTTCAGTAATGTCCTGTACCCTCTTTAAAAAATTCAATATTAACATGTGTGCACGATATAAGAAGTCCCTTTATGAGGATTCAGACACTTTGACAATTAAACTAAGATTGAATTGTCAATATAATAAAAATAAATGTTAATGTCCTTTGTGTGTGTGTGTGTGTGTGTGTGTGTGTGTGTGTGTGTGTGTGTGTGTGTGTGTGTGTGTGTGTGTGTGTGTGTGTGTGTGTGTGTGTGTGTGTGTGTCCTGCAGGTGTACATTCTTATCTTTGGAACATCTCTCAAAGACGGAGGGGTCGCCCAAACTTTGATTCAGGGGGCGAAAGACACGACACAAAAACCTGAAGACAAAATTCATCATCTAAAGGTGAGATCATACATGCACACACACACACACACACACACACACACACACACACACACACACACACACACACACACACACACACACACACACACACACAATACACACACAATACACAGAGCTACGTGTCAGAACAGGTCCAGCTCATGGGAATACACTTTCAGCTGTTAACTACAATTAAAATCAGAGCCTTACAGTGACTGAAAAGTCCATGTGATTAAATATCTGATATTAGCTGTGAAGCTGTTTAAACATGAAAATAATTCAAGTTGTTTCAAACTCTTCATTTTAACAAACTGAATAATCATAGATCTTTCTCTGTGAGATTGGCTGAGGAGTCTGTTTTGAGAATACTTTTTTTAGACGACCTATTGTTCTCTCTTTAAAGTGGTTCTTGCTTCATGGTCAGTGTTTTACCTTTTTTCATGAACCATTTTAAATTGAAATGCGAATGATCATCCAGTCACACCGTAATTACAAGTCAGCCTTCAGTGCTGACTCCTTGTGCTATTCTTCTTTTTATAAAAAGCCTCTGATATAAGCAGAGATTAAGAGTACGATGTTAGTGCGTTGTTAGGGTTTATGTCATAAGCTGGTTCCAACATTAATGAAAAGCCCTCTGCCATGTAAGAGAAACATGTGTCTACATTATTAGAATCTAAAATACTATTCCAGGAACAAATGACTCATCTGGGTTTCTGTCATGTCAGTCAATAATATTTTGATAATATAGTAAAGTACTGGCCATAGCTCTGTGATATCTGAGCTCATTTTGCCATTGAAACTGATGTATCATGTTTTCACACATGCACAAAACGTACACAAATTTGACTTTTTCCTGAGAGTACCCTGGTAAAATTTCTGCAAGAAGCTGCTTAACACAGAGGCTAAATTGACTGTAAATGAGCGGGCGAGGGTGATGTTGTTTATCATTCCACTGGTGTGATCTTCATTCATGCAGTGAGGCTGCTTCATACTCTTTTCTGTTGTCTAGTATGTTCTAATCCATTCTTTCACTGATACTGGGAATGCGGTCAGTTAAATATAAAGGCTACAAATAGTCATCTTAGTGTCTGACTATGTCGCTTCAGCCACCATCATGAATTCCGCAGTGTCTTTTTTATTTATGTCTTTCCTCTTAAGACCTCTCCTCTGTGAGGTGATGTGTGAATAAGCAACTCCAACTCGAGAAGATTTCAGGGGCAGGCTGTCCTGAAATGTTCAGAAGTGCATGCTCTGTATGAAAGTGTTTTGCAATCCCTTAAACAGTAAAGTTTTCTTTGTCTCCTTCTCTTAGGAGCAGCTGCTGGGAGACGTTCACAGTCTGGATGGAGGGCTGATACACAAAGCGTTACGTGACCCAGCGAAAGCAGCCCACAGGAAGGCTCTGCTCAAACTCATGTCCCACGCTTTGGGTCTGCCAGAGGTCTCGGGAAACCAGAGAACTGACCCGCAGGGCCTGAAGGAGGTGGAGGTAAACCTGCTGATTCTCTGAGCCGTGTTGAGCCTTGAGGAGCAGGACTGAGAGCTCATTTGGTTCTTCATAGACGTTTAGAGTCACACAGATTTGTTCAGCTCCTCTCCCCTTGACCGTACCCGGGGACCAGTAAGAGTTTGTAACAGAGCGTTTACTTAAACATGTTAAACATGAATAAATTAGATTATGCATACAACATGCCTGGTAGTCTGTCAGCGCCTGTCAGTATTTATTCCAAATGAGTTCCAAACCATACTGTTTCATATCTATGTGAATATACACCGGCAAAATAGAAGTGATTTGACAACTGAAGCCCCTGTCATTGTTCTTGTTTTTTTAATAACCTTTATCAACACACTGCTGTTTATTTAACTACATAAAATAGGTGAAATAGATGTTTCTTAAATTATCGCGACCGCAATGCTCATCAATTAGCCTATTAATTGCATTTGCCATTATGTGTTAGCATCAAGCTAACAAACTAAGATGTAGGTCACGGTTCAGCTGTGAGCATCTATAGTATCATTTATTTTGTTTGCACTTTATCTGTGTCTTTTGTTGAACAAATGAACTTATCATTGTGATTAAAAAGTTTTTAATTGACAGAAACTTTACAAATCAACATCATCGAATTAATTCTGTCGTCCACAGGAGGTCCTGCTGACTGGAGCCATGCTGGAGGTCCTCACCTGTGAGGGGGGCGGGGCCAGCGAGCTCGAAAAGATCCTGTTGGTGCCGGAGAAGCAGCGACCGGTGCTGCTGGCCTATCGCAGCGCTGTGTGCAGCGGAGGGGAAGCTCAGAGGTCCGAGCGCTTCAGGCAGATGAGTCAAGAGCTGAGAGAGCAGATCAACATGCAGAGAGTCACCGAGAAGGTACATAAACATCTTCTAGAGATTCACACCTCAGAAACTACCACTGACTGTATATTCATCGGTCTCTTTCCAATGTACAAAAGTGGATTTAAAACAACCCTGTGCAGGCTGGAGGAGCGGAAGAATTGCCGCCACTTGGTGATACAAGCCTAATTTGTCCAATAAACTGTCAATCACGACACTGCATCAAATAACTACTTAAAACTATTCAGAAAAATTACACTTGGACATTAATCAGCATTATAAAGAACCATGACGACAGAACCCAGGATGTATAACTTATACTGTAGCCAGTCAGCAGGGGGAGCTCTAAATATTTTGGCTTCAATTTAAGGCGGCTGTTGTTTCGTCCATCTTACTATACAGTCAATTGAAACTATTTATTAATTCAATAAATCTAATCAACAACAGTGATTTCGGGGAACTTATTTTGTCCCTCCCCCTCGTCCCTCAGCTCCACCTGGAGCAGCCCCGCGCTCTGGCTCCTCTCTCTCAGTCCCACCTGAGGGTGCTGTTGAAGGACCTTGCAGACATAGAAAGACTCCTCAGAGACGTGGACCTGCTATCTGGCCTGGCACGCCTGCTGCCCAAAGGAGCCTGTGCTGGTCGAACTCCGGCCTCCCCCACTAACGTGACCTGGCACCTGAACACCACCACCTGGGGCCCCAACACCACCGACACCCCCAGAGAGGAGGGGGAGGAGGGAGGAGCAGAGGGAGGAGTAGGAGGAGGAGGAGTAGGAGGAGGAGGAGGAGGGGGAGGAGGAGGAGGAGGAGGAGAAGGGAAAGGGAAGGAGGAAGCAGAGAATCCTCATTCTCAGTTTTCAGCATTTGTGCAGCTGTGGGCCGGACTGCAGCCGATCCTGTGTGGGAACAACAGGTGAGACATAAACAAGATGATAGCTGTGTTTGTGTGCAGGAAGTGATCTGGTTTAAATGACTGTTTAACACAACTTAAGACGATTTTTAAAATTCTTTTGAGACCATCCTCTCCCTTCATAATAATATTTCAACTGCTGAGATCTGCACGGTTGATAATGCAGATAATGCAATCAAATCAGCTCTGCTTGAGAGGCGTTGAGACCAAGCGGCAACCTCCGGTCTTGAAAACTGAAGCCAATGCGGAAGTGCAAAATCCTTCAAGTTTGTCGAGTGTCAGCAAGTTTGTCGAGTGTCAGCTTGAGGCTGGTTCCAGGAACATCGGAAGTCGCTTACACACAACAGGCAAAAAATCTTTTTTACAGCATAAATTAACATTTTACAACCAGGTACAAAAAAAGAAATAGGTCTGATTAGTTATTATCGATGTAACAGTTCAGCTTAAAACTTGCCTCAGCTCCAGCTCTCAGCCTGTCGTTAGGTTGACTGAAAGTTAAGCTGAGACAGCATTCCCCCCCCCACAGATTTAGAGACTAATGCACACCAATATGAATTCAATAAAAATAACAATAAAATAATAAATAAATGATTAAATAATAAGAGACATGATATAAAATGCAAAGCAGTCAAATTATAAATTAATACACAAAAAATGCTGATAAAATATAGTAAAATCGAAGATGTAAAGAATATTCTAAACTACAGAATGATAAAAAGACAACATGTTCATAAAAGGTGTTATAAACAGATAATCATGGTGATAAGAAATACATATACACAATGATATGCAAAACTTGAGCACTAAAATGTTAATTTCAAAGCAGAATAGGATAATGATAGTGATAATTAAAGAAGTTAATGATAAACAGAGGGACTGAATAAATTAGATTTTAGTCTCAGCTCCTCTCAGATCCTCTGAAGTCTCTTCCAAAGTCTCTGAGCGTGAGCAGCATCACCAAACATTTCTGTTCTACTCTGTGGAGGAGCTAAAAGAAAAGAACAGGAGGATCTGAGGGGCCGACTGGGTTCATAAACTCAAACCATCTCTGAAAGGTCATCTGGTGCAAGGCCATGTAGTGCTCTATAAGTCATTCGAGATTTTTGTTCAAGGTTTTTTTATTGGTGTTTTAAAATGCAATTTCGAGACATAATGTTATATTAATAAAATGTATTCCCTACTTCTTCTACTATGCACAATAAGAGCGAGGCATGAATGTGGGATTTAGCCAATAAAGACATATATTAATGACAGACTTTTTCAGTAACGGTCTGTTAGTACAACAAAGCTCACGGCAAGACAAATTGTTTGTCTGATATTTTCATGAAAAAATCTCCAAAAGGGTCCAATAACACAAACACAGCCCAGAATATAACTTTAGTGACTGAAGTAGCTGAGGTGAGACAGCTAGCAGACAGCTAGCAGCTCCCACCTGTCACTCAAAGAGACCACGCCTCCAATTCTACATCACTATAAGCCTTAATAAAATGTAAACAGGCAAATTTTGACATGTTTAACATGGGGTTCTATAAGGATTGACTCACTGCAGGAGAAAGCCTCTAGTGGACACAAGAGGACCTGCAGTTATTTAAAATACATTTTAACAACTTGCGACTGATCATCATCTGCAGATCAAACACTGCAGCTCTGTGACTCAGCAGAAATGTTTTCTTCCCTCTAACATTTTATACTCGTGCTGCAGGATCATCGAGCCGGAGGCTTTGAAGCAGGGGAACATGAGCTCTCTGGGATTCACCAGCAAAGAACAAAGAAATCTGGGCCTTCTGGTTCACTTGATGACTACAAATCCCAAGATCCTCTACTCCCCCATTGGCTCCCAGGTGGATAAAGTGATCCAGAAGGTGAGTTACTGTGACAGCTCTGTCCTTAGTGTTCGGGTTGAGCTCACAGTATTTTTCTCTGACAGCGCAGAAAGTTTCTAAACTTGAATGAAGCTGCATTTGTCTTTTTACTTTTTAGTCCTAACAAACTGACATGGCATGTTGGAAATTAAATCCTTCAAATAAAGTCACACATGTTGATATTTTATTAACTGCTGTAATCAGTGGTTTCATTTACAGAACCAACTAAAGGCATAATTTGTCTCTAACTTTGGTGAAGTGAGACCTACAATTGTTTTTCCTCTCCAAAGATCATTCAGTTGTAGTAAATGTTTTTTAGAGATGAATACTGAGATATAACAATGATATAAGACGCATCAAAGACTCTAGCTTGTATCGAGCCTTGAGGATGGACAGGTATTTGTTTTCTTGTTGGTAACAAATCCAGCATACCAAATACCAAAACAAAAATGAATAAATCCCCAAACACTTACTGTGTGCACATCTAAGACCTGAGAAATCTTCTTCTGTGGCTCAGAGCTCCATTGTTGTGAAGAAAATACACAACAGTGAGCCACACTGTTGCACTGGGGGACTGCAGGATGTGTACTTTATTTTGTTTTTCTTGCATTATTTTTTACTGAAATGAATGGCTTACTCGTGAAAAACCTGCTCATGCAGTTTCAGTAACATTGATGGATGATGAATCCAAAATCAGAGACTCCCTGCATGAGTAACACTGAGCAAACTGGGGGAAGGTTTTCATCATTTTTATTCTTTTATTTTAACATCCTGGATTCACATGAACACCACCTGATCAGTTCAATCACAGGTCGTCTCTATTAGCACTAACATGCACAGATTATCTTTGTGTTAGCACAGACTGACTGCTGGCAGCAGCTCTGTAATCCTGAATCTGAGCGAGTGGGCAGGAGACAGTGTGAGTGTTCATACAGAATCTACTCACAACAGAAAACATTAGTCAACTTTGTTTGTGCTCTTTGCATGCAGGCAAATGAGACGTTTGCATTCGTGGGGAACGTGACACACTACACCCACGTGTGGCTCAACATCTCCGCCCAGCTGCGGACGTTTCTGGAGGAAGGCTGGCTGCACAACCGTCTGGTGTGGCTGCAGCAGGTACGCACAAGACAACTTCTTTAAAAACGTCCTGAACTCCTGTTTATTTTGTCCCACACGTCTTTAATTTGACACAGGTGAAGTTTACATTATAGAAAAGTTATGTGGTTATTTTCATAGCAGCAACACTCAGCATGGCCTCATTGGTGATACCAAAGGATGCCTGACTGTGGAACCACAAAAATACATATTTCTTCATAATTAAGCTGTTGTAGTTTTGGTTGTGTTTTAGCTTCAACATTTTCACAATGCGAACATGTTGCCTTTCAATAAGTCCACATTCATCTTGGCTCTACAGTTCTTCTGTTACAGGCTGTTTTATTTGATAGGGTAAGCCGATGAGAACATTTGCTTGAAGAAATGGCGCTTTAAAGGCGTTATTTGTTTGCATTGTAGTCCGTAACTGTGCACACGTTTCACCGTCTCTCTCCAGCTGTCCTCAGAGCTGCAGCAGAACCCTGAGCTGTTGAACGGCACCGACAGTGAGCTGATGCAGAGTCTGATGGAGGGAAACTACAGTCTCCCTAACACCTCCACCCTACTGGAGCAGCTGGACACCATTGACAACGCGGCCTGTGGCTGGACACGCTTCATGTCCAAGGTCAGTGTTTGTGAAGAACAACAGATATATGACAACTGATTTGTTTAAGGCAGAGTGTAAGTAAATGTTTTATGACAATAACTAATAAAATAGCAGCTACCACAGGCCATCTTCACAGGAAGTACCTTTTATCAGTGCAAACTTTGAACCTGGACCACTCCAAAAGATTTGAAATCGTGAGGGACCCCACACATTACACATATGATGATCGATTAAACAGTTTAGTTCCTTTAGTTTGTTGAGAGCAATGATCAAAACAGGACCACACACACTAACAGATTCTTCATCAACAACCAGAGTCCTGACTATAAAAACCCTCGCCGTCAAACAAGACTTTAGAGGAAACAAACTGAGAGTTTGGGATAGTTGTTTGAACTACTTTTTACTGAAAATTCAGTTTAATAAATGAAAACATTATTGATGAAGTCTTGGAGATGTTACAGTGTGAACTTGGTGGTGAGTAAAAATGGATTTGCTTCGGTTGTGATCTTCCTTCTTTAGTCGACTAGCTCCCGAATTTGCTATTGTTTTGTTCATGTGACTATCCCCAGATGTCCTCTGGGGTCTACTCACAACAGGGGATCTGAGTTGGAAATTCTTTGAAATGGAGAGGTCCAAAGTTCTTCTGAGCAGATCACATCACTCTTAACACACCTCCTTCCACAGGACAAATCTGACAAGATCATCTTTAGAACCATTAAAAAACAGGACCTTTCCCACTTCTGTGGGAAGCGAGTAACCCGATAAAATTATAATATATTTAATTTGTGTCTCGCTTTTTATTAAAAACAATTCTCAAAGATCTAGAGAGTCAAGAAAACATTATCAGATCAGCCTTCTTGTAGTAGATGTCTCCTGTATTATTTATTAAACATACAACATGTATCAGACTAAATGTGCCATTTAGGACAGACTTTGAATTCTGTTACTTTGCCGGCTTCATGACCAGGAAAAGCTCCTCAGTCTGAGATCTTGAGTCAAGTAAGTGATCATTCATAGTAAGTGTTTATGAAGTTGGAATTGACAAAAAGTCTTTGAACATCACAGATACTCTTGTGTTTCAGTGTGATGGATTAATCGTCATCAGCTTTACTGTTTCTTTTATGAATCCTTTTCTCCGGTTGAAAAACGTTTGTGTCTTTGCCTTGTGATCCCAGGTCAGCGTGGACGTCTTCAAAGGTTTTCCTGACGAGGACAGCATCGTTAACTACACCCTGAACCAGGCCTACCAGGACAACGTGTCTGTGTTTGCCAGTGAGTCGTCCCTCTGTGTCAGATTGAGATCTTTGGTTCCTCAGATCTGGCTCTTTTATTTCTCCCTCTCTCTTTTCAAATGTACGGTTTCAAACACACGGTTTGGTTGTAGTGCACACAGGAGGCAACACTGATGCCACCGATAGCTCAACCTACCAGCCTCGGTGGCGGGTTAATAAATTTAGTGTAGAACAGAGTAATCTGTGACAGACATCAGCTCAGATTGAGTCCCCTACTCTCAGCTTGTTTTTCTCTGAGACTTTAAGAGCAGAGCCATGCGGACCTACACCTCCTCCTCATATCAGTGTTCACAATGAAAGTGAGTTAGTGCGCAATAATCAGGTAAACGTGTGTTCTCTCCTCAAAGTTTGATCAGCAAATAAAAGCAAAGGTGTACTTTCGTACTTGCAATGCGTCTCGTTTGATCTGTGTGGGGTATTTTTTCAACCGATGACGTGCTGGTTTTATTCATTTTTTTGCAGTTTTTAATCTGTGGCTTGTCTAATCCAGCAGGCCCCTTCACACCTGATTTGTGTTTTTCCTCTTCAGGTGTGATTTTTCAGACTAACAACGACGGCTCGCTGCCGCCGCACGTCCTGTACAAGATCAGACAAAACTCCAGCTTCACTGAGAAGACCAATGAGATCAGACGGGCCTACTGGCGTCCAGGGCCCAACACCGGGGGGAAGTTCTACTTTCTGTATGGTTTCGTTTGGATCCAAGGTAAATGCTCTCTGAGTGATTTATATTGATGAAACAGGTTTGAAGTAATTACATGGTAACATTTGGTGTGTTGAACTCCTTCCATTGTGCAACTCGTGCTGCCTGCAGATGACTGAGCCATAAATCAACACCCCGACATGACTCCTCAGGGAGCCAGACTGTGGTGTCAACGTCATTGTTTAGTATTTGTTTGACTAAGAAAAGGATTTATTCCGCTAAAGTGCTTACCACTGTGTGCTGTGAAGTGGGAGCACCTGTGAAGACACCAATGCAAGCTGCAGCAGCAGCATTTTCTCACTGCAGGTCATCTTTTATTCAGGAAGCAGAGAGCAGGAAGCTGCTCATCACACAGAAAGTTGATCCACAAAGATTCATCCGAACAGACAGGACATGGTCTGACAGAGGCAATTTACATCTGATATTAGATATGAGAAATAAACTGACAGGGCTGATTTACCGCCAGAGTTTTATGTCAGCGCACATTTTCTGACTGATTGTATTTGTTTAGTTATTCAGATTTCTGGCTTCACTCCAACACTGTGAAAGCGAGACTTATGGTAGTTTTTTTTATTTAAATGCAAACACAACACTGTGTCAGGAAATACTTCCCCTCATGCTATGAATCATAGACTGTTTATTAAGATGGACGGAGCAACATTCACCTGGGAGTGAAGCAAAAAGACTCAGAGCACCCCCTACTGGCTTCCTGCTAGATAGGTCATAAAGCCCTCCTCCTTAATGATACTAGATGGGACATGGTTCAAACTACAAAGTTAAAATGAACACTTAGTTCATAACATGCTGATTCATGTACAAGTGTCAATGAGTAATGATAATAACTTACAATAACAGTCAATACAGTCATTTGACTTTCATAACCATGAGGGTCTGCTCCAAACCAACATAAGCATCTGTTCTACTGAGGACTGAACCCACCTGAAGGGTCTGTGACGTTTTATCAGAAAGTTCAAGTGTGATTCAGTCGGACAAAGGGGCAGGATGTAAGTAGCCCTGTTCCACCAGCCAGTTACCTTATTTTAGGAGAAACTTTAGTGATATTTAAAACTAAACTAAAGGTTCCATTGACAGAATCATTTAGGAATAAGTAATGAATAAATCCAAATAATTTTCATGGATTTTCTTGTTAGTTTGTTACAATAAAAATAAAAAGGTTGACAATAGCTGACTGTTTTTTTATCTCTACATATAAAATAAGTGAAAACATTTTTATCTTCAATGGAAATCTTTTTGTTATTTTAACATAAAAATATTTCTCAAGGTCTTTTCAGGATGTGATACAAAAATGACAATTAAAGAACAAATTAATTTTGGTTTCAGGTTCAAGTTAAAGTATTTTGTTTATCAACATTAACAAATCTTGAGATGAACACATTCGTTTGATACATATTGTGCAGTATTTTCCGATGTAATTCCCTGATTTTGTTTTTAATAGGAAATGTAAAGGGAATAAGACAACCCTGTTCATACCAGCCTGCATCCTTCTGAGCATGTCTTGGCTCCAGATTACATCATAGACGCATGATGTCAACACCTGTTTTTTTTTTTTCCCTATTCACTTTTGTACAACAGAATGAGACGGAGATGCGTTGTCCATATTAATATACAGACTGTGCTCTGAATAGTAACAACAGATACATCTCAGTTTTATTGTGAATCACTTTTTCTTCCTCAGAAAGTGATTCAAAATAAAATGTGTAACTTTTTGAATGGGCCCTTGATGATGTCATGAACCATCACGTAGGCTAATCTCTCCATTTAAGGGAAATGTGATCAAGCACCTAAGAAATGAAAGGGTTAATATCTAGTTCACAACAGAGGAGATGCACTGCCAAAACAAAAATAGCTTAGAGGCAGCAGATTCAGAGAGAAATGTTATGACAACAGCCAACAAAAGCCAAGCAGAAGTAAGCCAAACTGAAGGTTGAGATCAAGTCACACTTAGAGGACAAAGGAGGAAAAACAAGAAAGATCATAAAATCTCAGACTGTTAGAGAGATAAAAGAACATTAAACCCACTGTGGCCTGTGTGTTCATTCGATTCACGATTCGCTAACTGTTTCTAGAGCTTGGATGAAACTGTGAGCCTGAAAATCAAGGGGAACATTAATATTTTTATACTCTTGCTGCTACAAACAATACTGGTCATACTTGAAGACACAAACTAAAAACCAAATGTTTTAATGACATGAGTTTTTCCCCACCTTTCTCTCTCTCTCCCTCCTGTAGATATGATCGAGCGAGCCATCATCAACACGTTCGTGGGGCATGACGTGGTGGAGCCCGGTAACTACGTTCAGATGTTCCCCTACCCGTGTTACACCAGAGACGAGTAAGAACCGCTTTAATTACAACAAGATGGACTCTTGAAGTTACAATTTCACCAGGTCTTTTTGTCCAAGAGTTCAACATCATGGGGAGATTTCCACAAAGTAGATTCTGTCCTCTCTGCCAGTCTCACTAGTTGATCTAGATAGCCTAACATGCACAATGACACATCTGTAGGGACGCAGATACCTGCCCAGACGTAGGAGACAAACAGAAACAGTGCAGAGGCTTTGGGATTACATTTTATTTGGCGATAAAAGGGAAATATGTTTTTGAGGATTATTTATATCAAAAATCAACTGAATTACAGATTATTTTGAATTGCAGAACTAAAGTGTGTATTACTCAATACAAAAAATTGTAATCTGAGTACTCTAAAGTACTGCTGTGTAATCTGTTACCCCCAACACTGCACTTGACAAGCCATGAAAACAAAGCAGAGCTGTGTGATTTTTTGCGTCAAGTGTGTGACACACAGCATGGCAGAAAGCATGAAGCTGTGACAAAAAATCCGGGTTGTGGGGCACCGGTAGCCTAGTGGTTAGTGTGCGTGCCCCATGTACAGAGGCTATAGTCCTCCAAGCGGACGGCCCCGGGTTTAAATCTAACCTGTGGCTCCTTTCCCGCATGTCATTCTCCACTCTCAATTTCTGATTTCTGACTCTATCTCCAAATAAAGGCATACCATGTCCCCCAAAAATAATGTAAAAAAAATCAGGATAGTAGATTATAGATTTCTAAATTCTTCTTAAATTAAAAATTAGTTTTCTGTTGTGTAAAAAGAACATGAACTTGTTGTCATTGCATTAAACACAGTCTGACAAATACTGCCTCTTTTCATTTTCTGCAAAAAGACATAACTGAGAACATTTCATTTGATAGAGATGTTGTACACAATAAAACAAACCCAAAGAAATCATTTGTTTCAAACACAAACCTATTAACAGAAGAGCCAGAGAAATGTTTGCAGTGGTCTTTTAATCTTTCACAGTGCTGTATTAATGTTTGGTCTTTACCTGACACACTCGTCTGTTGTTGTTGTTGTTGTTGTTGTTGTTTTGCAGCTTCTTGTTTGTGATCGAGCACATGATGCCTCTGTGCATGGTGATCTCCTGGGTTTACTCAGTGGCCATGATGATTCAGCACATCGTGGCTGAGAAGGAGCACCGGCTCAAAGAGGTCAGACAGAAACATTGTGACTGTCTCCGGTCTGGGAGGGCGGGACATAAATAAATCAGCAGGACAGTTTGTCAGAACGATATTTCAGTTTTTAACGGGGATCTGTCTTTAATTCACAAATCAAATGTGCAGACTAAAAAACAACAATAGACATATAAAACAAGTATTGTGTGTCTTCCCATGCAGAGATGTAAGAAGTAAGTCTAGACCCCGTGATATTGTGTCCTTTATACTGATGCATTCAACATCCCAGTTAAAAACCCAAGAGCAGCCCTCACCGTCACCCACTGCATGCGATACAACATTTGCACCCATTCATTGTGTATTGCAAGCTGCTCAGAATGTGCTGGGATACATAACGACCGCTAAGTCCAGAAACAGCGGGTCTCAACCGAAACATACCAAAACACCAAATACAGTCAGAGGACGGGCTCTCTGCAGACTCAGTCACCACCACACATGAATGGAGGCCCATTTGTGACAATTGAGCTGCATTACTTTTGTATAAGACCATATATTATTTTTTAGAAAAAAAGCTAAGACTCTTATCTTAAAATGATCTAGTTAAACACAATTTATCTGGTTGTAAATTAAAACATTTACCAAAGGCTAAACTTATTGTTTGTTTAGTCTCTTTGTTATTTTCTGACAATAAATAAATCCTAAAATTATGCAAACTTTCTTTAAAGATGTATGTGTATATGTACGGTGGCTGGGAAGATAATTACAAAATGTGAAACACTTTTACAAGCGTTGGGACAAATTTACAAGTGGAAGAACACTTTCACCAATCACCAATCTTGACAGAAAGGGAATGTACTAAATGCAGGAAGTGACCCGGAAGTGATTGAGTGAGGGTCATTTTGTTTGTTTTGGCATAAATGTAAATTTGTCTCAGATTTTCTCAATCTCAAGTCTCAAGTGTTTCACAATTTGTAATTTTGCTTTGCATTTCCCAGCCACCATAGGATATCAGATAACTCTGATCCATCATTAAGTCACAGATTCAGATTTGTAACCGTGGTGACTCTTCCTCAGGTGATGAAGATGATGGGTCTGAACAACGCCGTCCACTGGGTGGCCTGGTTCATCACCGGCTTCGTCCAGCTGTCCATCTCTGTCACCGCTCTGACGGCCATCTTGAAGTACGGCCGCGTGCTGCTCCACAGCGACCCCTTCATCATCTGGCTCTTCCTCACCATCTACGCCGTGGCCACCATCATGTTCTGGTGAGATCTCAGAGGAAAGCCCAAATTTACACCCATCAGAAGCCTGCTTATGTATCTCTTAAATTTAAAAAGATCCCCTTCTGCAAATACTCATATTGCGATAACGATGACATTGAACATGAAAATATTGAATAGTCCTATTTTTATGTCATTAGTTTGACATTGTTGACCACTAACTAAGAAGCTCATGTAACTTCTGTTTTTTCTTCTTCAGTTTTTTGGTGTCAGTGATCTACTCTAAAGCCAAGCTGGCTTCAGCCTGCGGAGGAATCATCTACTTCCTCAGCTACGTCCCCTACATGTACGTGGCCATCAGGGAGGAGGTGGCTCACGATAAGATCACTGCGTTTGAGAAGTGCATCGCGGTAAGGCTCTCTCTCTTTTCACACACCTTTTCTGTTTCACAACATGTGAGGTCTGTTTGGAACCAAAGCTCTCTGAATCAATGTGAGGATTTTCCATAATAACCCAGAGGGTATCGAGGTGAATAAACTCTTTCCTCCTTCGTCTCCTCAAGTCTCTGATGTCGACCACCGCCTTCGGCCTGGGCTCCAAGTATTTTGCTCTGTATGAGGTCGCAGGTGTCGGCATCCAGTGGCGGACCATCAGCCAGTCTCCAGTGGAGGGCGATGACTTTAACCTGGGTCTGTCCATGATGATGCTCATCATCGATGCAGGCGTGTACGGAGTGCTCACCTGGTACATAGAAGCTGTGCATCCAGGTATGAAACCATCTCCTTTTAAATCTCTGTCATCCAGTTATTCATCTTTATCTGCTTGGATAAATGAGATCTTTGAATATGTCAGGCCATGAAAGATGCACTGGATGTATCCTTCGCTGCTCAGGGACAGGAGGAGTAATTTGTCAAAATGAGGACAGCCTTCAAAGCACCGCAGTGAAATATTTGGCCTTCAAATGAACCCTCGAAAAGGATGCAGCCTCTGAATTAGGACACAGCTAATGTGTTTCCCCTCTCCGACAGGAATGTATGGGCTGCCACGCCCGTGGTACTTCCCCCTGCAGAGATCCTATTGGTCAGGCAGTGGGCGTGTGGAGACGTGGGATTGGCCTTGGTGTGGAGGCGGAGCTGCCAGGCTCAGTGTGATGGAGGAGGATCAGGCCTGTGCCATGGACCAGAGGAGATCAGGTACAGTCAGATACAGACAGATTGGGGAGGAGAGTCACATGTTTTACAGATCCAAGCCAAACTGTAAAGGTACAATATGTCTCATTTTAGAACCACTCTCTCAGACTGAAACAAAACGTATCTTCGGTCATCCCTCCACAGTCCTTCAGCACTCCATACCCTCCAAGTTTGAGCCGAGTGCAGCCATTTTCTTTATTCAGATATACTGCCCAAAGTTGATTCTGTTGCCATCTATTTTTTAAATGAAAGATAATATTTTATTCAGTTGAGAAAGTCTGTTGGTTCTCCTTCAGTTGTACTCTTTCCACAACACTCAGTTATTCTGCCCCTGGAAACAGCGTCCCTGAGTCAGCGGGGCCAGCTCTCTTTCTCCACACGATGCCAGGTCTAACGGTTGAAGAGGGAGGGTTCAAGCAAAAAAAAACATGTATTGAGCCCCTGAGTCACACACAAACAAGCTGCATATCAGGAACAAGACCTCAGTCTGAGGGCTGTAAACACAGAGCTGAGAACAACAAACCCAGAGGGAGTTTGACTTTACTGTTTTTTTTAGGAAGTCATCACTCATGAAGACAATTTAGTTTTTGTTTACAGCATAAATAATTACGCACTGTTTTGGAGGCCTTTGCTGGAGATCCCGATGAGCTGTGCACTGCAGTAATCCAGCCGAAGTGTATTCAGACTTTTTTGATTGACTTATGTAGGGGGGGAATTGAGTTTTAGGGCACAGTTTTTATCCTGTGTATCCCCACTAATTATATGTTCTTGTAAGTAACACAATTTGGCACAATATAAATCTTCTTAGCTTATACATGATTTCTTCTTAAGTCCGCCTCTGATTAGCCAAATAGCCAATCATAGATAAGGATTTTGGGGTGGCACCTGCGGTGGCCAATTGGATTTCAAGGGCAGTCGATGCTCTGAGCTGTTTGGCTTTTTACTAGTCAGAGTCTATGTACATAACATTATAAAAAGTGTTCCTAATTATTCCGTAATGGTCATGTAACCATTGAACTATTTACATAGTACAGGCCAGTATATTTGTTTCTACAAAGTAATCAGGTTAGACAGAAAGTGATAATTGAATCAGTTTTGCTCTAAGGTGATTTATGTTTTATTTGTTTGTTTTGTTCCCATAATTCTAACCTCAGAGGAGATGCGGGGCATAGAGGAGGAGCCGAGTCACCTGCCGTTGGTCGTGTGTATCGACAAATTGACCAAAGTGTACAAAACTGGCAGCAAACTGGCCCTCAACAAACTGAGCCTCAACCTCCATGAAAACCAGGTGGTCTCCTTCCTGGGACACAACGGGGCGGGCAAGACCACCACCATGTGAGTGTGTGTGTGTGTGTGTTTAGATAGATAGATAGATAGAACCAGTCTTGTTAGCAGACGTTTTTAGTGAAAGCAGGTGAGTTTTTTTATGGGTCCCATTTTTCCTTTGAAAATGTTTTGCAGCTACTGAGTCAGAAGTTCAGCCAAAAGAGCAAGTTTCGTTAAAAACGCAGCCAAAAAAATCAGTGGACAGAGAATTCACGTCATAATTTTTTTAATATGTTTTGGCATTTTTCTTCAACAGGACAGGAGAGGAGAGATAGGAACTATTTGGTAGATTAAGTGGAGATGACAGTAAAACCCAGGGCCTCTGAAGCTAGGACTCAGCTTCTTTAAATAGACCACATGCTCGAACACCTAGGCTACCTGGCACCCTAAATCAAATTGTTTTGAAGAAGTATTTCCTGATTTTCAAACAGCTTAGTGAGCACTGTCTAGGGAAACAGAAAGGGGAACTTTGACAAAAGAAAATTATGAAAAGTACTCTAACTTTAAAAAGATGTCACTTGTTTTTTGTAAACACAGACCAGGGACGAGTAGCTTTGGCTGAAATCAAAAACCATTCTAGCCATTGGCTGCATGAATATGGACAATACGTCTCTGTGTCCGTCCGTTGTACAAAAGTGAGGCCAACATATCCCTGTGATGGGCGCTGACATGTGCGTTTTTGATGTTATTCGGGGAACTGTAGAATTGATGCCTCATGAACGTGATTATTATGTATATTTTTACGACACGTTTTCATTATAATATAAAGTTGAGCAGACGCCTCCTCTCCTTTTCCTTTATGGAATCAACCCTTATGATATTAATGAAACCAATAAGATGGAATATTATACAGTAAATGCATGAATTACCAACTGATTCACCATTGACTCTCTTCACGTCACAGGTCCATCCTGACAGGATTGTTCCCGCCCACTTCCGGCTCTGCCACCATATATGGTCACGACATCCGCACAGAGATGGAGCGTATCCGTCAGAACCTGGGCATGTGTCCGCAGCACAACGTCCTGTTTGACAAGCTGAGTGTGGAGGAACACCTGTGGTTCTACTCCAGACTCAAAGGGATGGCCGAGGAGGACATACGCAAGGAGATGGACAAGTCAGTACACGTCTACTACAGTTTACTTCAAAGTGTAGTGAAGTACACAATAATAATAATATCGATAATAATAATGATAATATTAATAATGATAACAAAAAGTAACATCAACGAAACACAAGGATAGGGATACATCTCTGCCCTTATCAGGTATAAAACAACGGTAACACTTTTAATCAAGGTCACATTATTAACCATTAACTAGTTTCTAATTAGCATGCTAATTAGTAGCATACTTGCTGCTTATTATCAACCATAAGCAGCAATTCCAGTGGATTCTACATTTAGTGCATTAGCTACTGTATAACTGTAGCCATTGGCACTGATACAGGCAACATAAGTGCTGTATCAAATGACTGATTGCTTTGATGTGTGTGTGTGCTTGTCCAGGATGATTGTCGACTTGGAGTTATCCAACAAACGTCACAGTTTGGTGCAGACTTTATCTGGTGGGATGAAGAGGAAGCTCTCTGTGGCCATCGCCTTCGTCGGCGGCTCCCGGGCCGTCATCCTGGACGAACCTACGGCCGGCGTGGACCCCTACGCTCGCAGGGCCATCTGGGACCTCATCCTCAAGTACAAACAGGGTGAGCAAAAGACCATAACCTGAGGAGAACTTTGAATCCCAAGTCTGTCAGAAAAGATTTTAGTGAAATTGTTGCAACGCAGAGCAGGTCAGAGGGAAAGGGATTCAACATGAAGCTGATGGACTCTGAAATAAAAGCCCTTTATAGTTCACAAACTGTAAATTTAATGAACATAAGGTGTGTCAGCTTTCTTCATACAACAAAGAGGAGGCATGTACAGCAGGGAACAAAAGGAAGGGCTCCAGGTGGCGCCAAATCAAACAAAACAAAACTTCTTCCTACCTTCAATTTTGCCCACTTGTTGACTGTGAATATATAAACAAATGACATAGAAAAACCTCACTTTCTACACTGATCTTACCTGACAAAAACAAAAATATTTATGACAAACAACTCTGTTGGAAGAGAGCATGAGTTGTTGATTGTTTGTTTCCTTACAAGAAGAGAAGAAAAGAACGAGATCATACCCGATCACAGCTGTCACATTTATGTTGTAGATTCTTGTTGTCATGTTTCTGATGTGTTGTTTGCAGACGTGTGTGTGTAAATGTGTGTTTTCTCTGCCTCAGGTCGTACCATCCTGCTGTCCACGCACCACATGGACGAGGCCGACCTCCTGGGAGATCGAATCGCCATCATCTCACACGGGAAACTCAAGTGCTGCGGCTCGCCGCTCTTTCTGAAGAGCACGTACGGAGACGGATACAAACTGACGCTGGTCAAGAAGCAGAGTGAAGGCCGAGGTGTGTGTGTGTGTGTGTGTGTGTGTGAGTGTGTGTGTGTGTGTGTGTGTGTGTGTGTGTGTGTGTGTGTGTGTGTGTGTGTTTTCTCTTATATTGAGCTATAAAATGAAAAGTAAGACGTTTATTTGACATCATAGAGTGCATCAGGTGCAGATTTCAGTCCCTTCATTTACAGACTCTCTGCACTACATGTCATTATAAAGATACGGAAGCCCCAAGGGGCCAGTTCGAAAATGTATTTCAGTGATTAATATCACAGAGATGAATTTTAAATCTGAAGAAAAGAAAAAGTGAGCTTTGAGAGGCACAGTCTCAGTAATGAGGAGTTCCTGTTTTCTTTGATTTCTAACCTTTTAGTTGTACATCCTCTCTCTCTTTCTCTCTCTCTCTCTCTCTCTCTCTCTCTCTCTATTTTTTCCTCGGCCCATCATGACATTGCTTTTCCCTCTCTTCCTTCAGGCCAGGGCGTCCAGCTGCAGCCTCCCTCCTCTCTGTCTCCGTCCTCGTCTCTGTCGCCTTGCTCAGAGGCTCGGGTCACTCAGTTTATCCGCCAGTTTGTGGCGTCCTGCCTGCTGGTGTCCGACTCCAACACTGAGCTGTCCTACGTGCTGCCCTCTGAGGCCGTAAAGAAGGGCTGCTTCGAGAGGCTGTTCCAGGTAAGAAACAAAAAAAAACTATTTTCTTATTCATGGTCGTCTTGTAGTTAAAGATATGGATCATTCACTATCTTTGAGTGTGATTGCACATATTGAAGACAACCATAAACAAACGTCATACATTTAATCACACATTATAAAACCTGATTAAGTGTTGCTGGTTTAGCTCAGTCAGTAGAGCTGGCCCCTGATACACACAGGCTCCAGTCCTCGACGCAGCGGCCGCAGGTTCCACTCCCGGCTTTGGCCCTTTGGTGCATGTCCAATCTCTCCTCCCTACATTTCCTGTCTCTCTTCAGCCGTCCTATCAATAAAGGCAAAAAACCAAAATATATTTTAAAAAACCTGATTTAAAGTCAACCCAAATAATAGCCTATGTAATATTTCTTAAATATGTTCAATTAACATAGTTCTAGTTTAGATCCAAAAGTTTCCAGAATTAAAATTGTATAATCTTCATAAATTGATGGTCATGTTATGTACGATACGTTCCAGTTCTGCCAGTAATTATATTCGTCTTTTTGTGTGATTGTTGCCTCCTTGAATGCCTGATTTTGCAGCAGCTTTTCGATGTTGAATTTTCTCACTACAACATTGTTTAATTGCTTCGTCTGTCACTTCCGCACCATTCTTTTTACGTAATGTCTTGCCTCAGGAGACTCCCCCAGAAGGAGGATTTTTTTGGGGCAGTGGTCCTGATATTCTCTGGAAATGTTCAGCAGAGCATATGTGAAAATGTCTAATGACTGACCTGTAACAGCTTCTGTCATATTCATAGATGGCAGTAACAACAAAAGTATAACATTGCTAATTTTTTTGAGTGGTTGGTTAAAACTTACTTTCCAATTCTATCTTTCATTAAAAAAACAGAGACTGTATCATATTAAAACATGCAGGATCAAAAACTATCACAAATGTTGCCAACCTTAAAGCACTGTGCAGTCATGTGTCTCTCTCCTGTGTTGTGGGCGAGCAGGCTCTGGAGCAGAGCTTGGACAGCCTGGCTCTGACCAGCTTTGGGGTGATGGACACCACGCTGGAGGAGGTCTTCCTCAAAGTGTCTGAAGAGGACCAGTCTCTGGAGAACAGTGATGCTGGTCAGACCCGATCCTTCTCCTATGTGTTCACAAAGCTCAAAGAGTTTTTCAGAAGTCTGTTCAAACTTTCTCAATAAAAAAAGATTTCTGAAAAATATGCCGCGTCAGAGTGAAAGTTCTGACATTTGGTTGAATTTTCGTTTTGGCTCCAGGCTGAGATAATAACCATCTGTTTCTCTCTCTCTCCCTCTCTCTTTGGGCAGACATGAAGGGGTCCCCGGGGGGCAGCTCAGTGGGGAAGTTGTCCGTGGGTTCAGGGGGGGGTCCACAGACCGAGACGGGCCCTGCGGTGGAGGGCGATAAACCGGAGGTGGAGCTGAGTAATCTGATGATGTGTTCCAGGCTGAGCCAGAGCCAGTCCTCCCTCAAATCCTCCTCGTCTGTGGGTTCAGTGCGGGGGGATGAGGGGGGGCTCTACGCAGACTTCTATGGAGATTACTGTCCACTCTTTGACAACGGCCAAGAACCCGACTCGTCCAGCCTGAGGGGTAAGTCGACATGATAGCAGATGTGCTGATTCCTCATCCCACTTACTGAGCATCATGATGTTGGCTGATGAATCACATTTACAAAAAAAAAAAACTTTTTAACTCAAACAATCTGCCTGTTAGATGCCTCGTATTACAGATTAATAAAAAAGTCAAACAGGTTTATTATTTTTGATATGCTTCAAAGTTCATGCTAAATTTACAAGTGGTCCAAACCATCTCAGTACATTTGCAAATATGGACCTTTATTATCATTATACTGAAGTGCAACACAATACAACGATTTTAACAATCCAGGAAATAAAAAAAACATTTTAAAACATAGATGAGGGAATGCAGAATTGATGTTGTCCACTATAAAAGTGAGATGTACTCTAGGGTAGTACCTGACCTAGAAATCTCTTTTAGCTTTCAGTATTCTTTCCTTATTCCCTTTCTAGTGTCACAACAAACTACTTAATAATCTTCTATGCGTCTCTTTTGATTTTTTTAATCATGTTTCCCATGAAAGCTGGCTACCTGCCGTAGAGACATAAAAAACGATCCCAGCTCACAACATTCTTCTAATAAAAGTCATGTCATCATTGATTTTCACTTCAACTGGATCATTTCACTTGATGTGGACTTTTAGTCATCAGACATCTGGATTTTAATCAGAGAAAAGAGCTTCCATGAAGTTTGAAGAATCTCAACTCTCAGCTCCTCCTGGCAATTTGTGTCCATTAAAAAAACTAGCGTCAGAGAAAAACTCATTTTCAATGTGAAAGTGCTTTGTTAAGCAGCGGGTGTGTTTGCTTTGGAGAAGAGGATGCCTCTGTGAATAATTCAGCTCTCTCTGAAAACCTTGTGGTGATGAAAGCTCAGGGCTCATTTTGAGATTCCCAAAAAAAGATTATGTGGCTGTTGCAGCTGCTAAACCTGTGCATGTGAGACAATGGAAATCCACCTATTCAAAAAGCTCAATTAAAGTCTAAATGTACTCATGACTGTGCTGCAGAGCTAACAGCGTCCCTGTGCTCCAGTGCTGTTATGTGTGTGAGAGTTTCGCCATTTTACTGAGAATCATGATCAAGTCTGTAAATATTACATTATAATTAGAATCAGTAAGGCTGCCACTGGCTCACTCCAGCACATACGCACACACAGACATGTGTTGTGACAATCTGAGGTTGTTGCACAGGATGAGTACAGGCGTTATTTTTATCTGGATAAGCTGCTCACGCTGACCCGTTACAGGGAGACAGCTTTGTTATAAATGGTGAGTGTTGAATCACATCTGTAAAGACTCAGCTGCCCATTTACCTGGAAAAGAGTCCCCTCCCCATCCAGTCTTCACATTCAAACTTTAAGAGTGACGACACTGCATCGATTCATATCATCCATCCCCTATTTCTTTCACATTATAGACTGTGAGAAGACAGAGGGGTTAGTCATATATATATTTTTTATTTTGACCTTAAATGGGACATACATTTAATGCCTCTGTGTCTCCAGGTGGCGCTACACACAGTAACACTTGTAAATCTACTCTTCTTCATTAAAAAGAAGTCCAGTCCAGTTCCAGTTCTGCAGAATCACACAGAAAACATGCATTGTAACCCATTGTAACTGATGTTCATTTTTTTTAATTTTCCTCTGACGTCTCTTCTAAATCCTGCAGATGCAGAGAACCCATCGTCCGTGGAGCCGGAGATCCTTGAGGGGCAGGGCAGCTTCAAACTGGAGGGTTGGTGGTTAAAGCTGAGTCAGTTCCATGGCCTCATCGTGAAGCGGTTCCACTGCGCCAAGAGGAACACTAAAGGCCTGTTCTCTCAGATCCTCCTGCCTGCCTTCTTCGTCTGCGTGGCCATGACCGTGGCTCTGTCTGTGCCTGAGATTGGTGAGAGTTTTTTTTTTTTTTTTTTAATGGTTAAACTTGGGCTGGCACAGGAACAGAAATTCTTACTTTAATATAACACTAGTGCAAAATAAATTCCCGTCTGTTGAGAGTTGGTGGTAACTGCGCCTGATTTTGCACCTGACATATTTGTGATGTCAGGTGCAAAATTTCCAGGGATCAGGAAAACACTTCCGCGCCTGTATGACTTCATGATAATTCATCTGTAGATAAAGTCTGTAATCAAGACTATTATTAATATATTCAGGGGTTTAATCAGTCCAGGGCTGTCAGCAGCCCGACACTTCATCCACATGTGTGGAGATGGTTTTGAGCCGTGACGCATGATGAGTATCTGAGTGTTGTTGTTCGAGTGGTCTGTTCTTGCTCCATTCAGGGAGGAAATTTTTCTTTTAACAGTGAAACTCAAATCACATTTTTTGAGCCTGGCCTCCCAAAAAAGTAGGGATGTAAGGATTCACTCAACTCATGATACGATTCACGATTCTGGATTGACGATACGCTTCTCTCACAATTTATTTTACAAAATGAGACTGTAGAAAAATTATGAGATGACTGACAAGGATTCCTTTAATTTTTTCATGAAAACAATCAGAAACAATGCAGCTCTTAATCTTTTGGCTCTTGAACTTGTTTGGGCGAGCAGGGCTGCAAACCCACCTGTCAGTGTGGTTTTGCCTCCGCAGCTGCCGTAATAACGCCTGCTTACAACCAACCGCCTCTGCTCTACAGCTGCTGCACTCGCGATATTACTGCGATTCATTTTTCAGAGTACCGATGTGAACCTTTGAATCGATTTTTAACTGCATCACGATTAATCTTTACATCCCTACAAAAAACAGACAGAAATTAGCTCATGAGAGTGCAGCTCCATGCAGAGTAAAGGTGCAAAAAGCTTTTCTCCACATTCAGACACAAAACGGCTACACAGAGGAGACAACATTTTGGGCATGTTTGTGCCTGAATATCATTAGAGCTGTGATCAGCTGCAATCCATTCTTTGTGTGTGTGAATCACAATCCCTCCTTTAATCAAACAGAAAAAAAAGGCAGACAGTGCTTGATATGAAAATGTCTCTGAAAACATACAAAGATAGTTTTAAAAGTTTTAATAGTAAAATATTACTTCATAATCAAAACTTAAGGTCGAGTAGAACTTTGAAAGCGGGTCTGTATCTGTAGTCTTCCTTCTGCCTGAATTTTCAAATGTTCTTCTTTTGCTGACTTAATTCTGGGTGTGTCTCCTCATCCAGCAGTCTGTCAGTCAAAAGAAAAGAAAACGTAGGGACCAGATGACACATCTGTCTCTCTCCTCAGATGCTTCAGGGTGGCATGTGGGTCTGAAAGAGGCACCTGAGTGTACAAAGTGTCCTGTTATGTGCTGACTGAGCCATGTGTCATGGCTGTATGAGCGCTGCAGGAGTGAGCCATAGGGCAGAGCAGAGAGGATACTCACCATGAGGATGACGAATCTCGCCAGGAAATACGAACAACAAACAAAGTCCTTCTGCTTCCTGCAGTGGTTGTGTGAAAGTGTGAGGGTGTTAATCTCTTCATTAGAACATCATTGTGGAAGATTTTATGTAGTGCAGCTCTCTCTCCAGAGATCTCTCTTTTTTTTTTGCTTGTGGCAGTATCGGGTTGAAATTCTGGTTGATGATGTGTTTCTTTTTAAAGCTTTCACACTTTTCACTGCATTTGAATTTAAACTGAGAGTATTGGCATCACTTTAAGCAGGTTGTCTCATTTTCCTCTGTGAAAGGAACTTTGCTTTGCTTTGAAAATATATTAATTAACGAGGTGAAAAAGGTATTCAGAGACTTTACTTTAAAGGTCACATATTATGCAAAATACACCTGACCTGTTTTTCTAACACTAATATGTGTCCCTAGTTTGTCCACAAAGCCCCCAATTATGAGAAAAGTCCATTCTCTGCATCTTTTGCCTGCTGTTTGTGACATCACAAAGGGCAATAACCCCTCCCCCAGGTGGGTGACACTCCTACAGCTAGGTGTTTGTTCTGCCCTGAGTCTGTCTTCTCACCGTAAACAATAGGACATGGAGCGAGAAAGCCCAAGCCACCCAGGCCCTTTCAGAGGGGCATGGTCAGACACCGCTCATTTACATTTAAAGGTACAGACACAGAAACAGCCTGTTCTGATCAGGGCTGAAATAGAGGGGTTTATAGGCATGATTAAATACAGGATCAGAGTGGATTTTGAGTAAGAAACTCATGCTTTGGGGTTTTCTGAGACAATTGCTTGAAAAGTAGGATGATATATGACCTTTAACAAAAAAGCCTGAGCAGGGTGGGTATGAGGTGTTTCAGTCATACTTCAGGGTAGACTACTGCAGCTTTGATTGATCAAAGTATCACAGGAAATATAATAAAAAACACAGTGACAAAGAAAATATCAATGCTTTACACAGTTTTGAAAACAGACCTCTAACTGGATGATGAACTTTGTTGGTTTTCCAGGAGATCTGCCCCCCCTGATCTTGTCCCCCTCTCAGTATCACAACTACACACAACCCAGAGGCAACTTTATCCCGTACGCCAATGAAGACAGACCCCAGTACAGGTAAGACGAGTGATTCTTCTCCCTCTGTGATGGACAGTGATGTGGCTGGAGATAGGGTCTTTGAAGTGGGCAGGCTGTGTTAGGGTCCGACCTGTGGCTGCTTTCCCGCATGTCATTCCCCACTCTCTCTCTCCCTGATTTAAAAAGGCATACAAAGCCAAAAAACAACACAACACAATATAAGTCACAAATATACCAGTTTTCCATTCTAAATATATCAAAATATTGTTTTATGTAATGCATAAAATAGAAAGTGAAAGAAGTGATGTTAGAAAAAAATCTCCTTAAATATCTGATGTATAAAATTTGATACACACATCTTCAACAATATTTGACTATAAAATAACCAAATATAATTGGTGAAAATATTCCTGATAAATCTGATTTGTGACACTGATTGATTATGGTAATTTTAGATGTGTGTATAAAGGGTTCTGGTACATGCTTTCTGCCCCTGGTGGATGAGCTGTGCACTGGTATCCTAAAACTGTGTATCAAATATGATTGATTCAACTTTATAAATGTAAAAGTTACACTTAAAATTGATTTTAAATGTCTTTCCTCTTGTCAATAACACGTGCAGGATCTAATTGTGACACCTTTCATTTTAGGAGTAAGCTGTCTCCGGACGCCAACCCACAGAAGATCATCAACACCCTCCGTCTGCCCTCGGGTGTGGGGTCCACTTGTGTCCTCAAAACCCCCTTCAACAGCACCCTGGATCAGCTGGCCCAGACTCTCAACCCCAGCGCCAACAACTCCAAGACCCTGGCCGCCCGCTACTTCGACTCCATGTGTCTGGATTCCTTCACCCAAGGGGTCCCTCTCTCCAACTTTGTGCCCCCTCCCCCCTCACCGGCTCCTTCAGACGACCCGGACCCCCGCTTTGAGGACGGACTGTGGAACTTCACAGTCGCCCCTCCCACCACAGTTCATGGTGAGTCCATCTCTTTGTTTGTAGTATCAGATTTATCTTACAAATGTAATGCTTAAATATCTCCAGCAAAGATATTTAAACAAAATATATACTGTATTTCATCCCAGTATATGAAAAAAATTGATACCATCTTCTGTGTAACCCTCCAGTCTGGGTCAGAATAAAGATCAAATCCTGTGAAGCTGAACAACATTTATCAGAAGTGGACCACAAGTAATGTGCATTCTGTGGAATGTCCAGCAGGGGGCGACGCCACTGGTCTGATTGTACAGATGTCTATGATAGAATGGTCCTTCTTCTCAGCTGATTAATTACCTAAACATTTTCCTAATGAGTTAATGGTCTCAATCTTTAGTTTTATGGGGTTTTTTTATGCAGCATGATGTTTATTTAAAGCTGCAAGGTGGTGTAGTGGTTAGCACTGTGGCCTCACTGGGAGGAGGTTCCTAGTTCAAATCCATGTCGGACAGGAGCCTCTCTGTATGGAGTTTGCATGTTCTCCCAGAACATGTGTGGGTTCCCTCCGGGTATTCCAGCTTCCTCCACTGTCCAAACACATGCTCGTTAGGTTAACTGGTGACTCTAAATTGCCCGTAGGTGTGAATGTGAGAGTGTCTGGTTGTCTGTCTCTACATGTCAGCTCTGTGATTGACTGGTGGACAGTCCAGCGTGTACCCCACCTCTCGCCCAATGACAGCTGAGATTGGCTCCAGCCTCCCGCGACACAAAACGGGAAAATGCGGTAAAGATAATGGATGGATGGATGGATGATGTTTATTTAGTAAATGATGGTCCTTCAATATTTAGATACCAGGAAGCAGGGGAGGAGTTAGGGCTACCTGGGAATACCAGTTGCTACCACGGCAACCTTAAAAAAGTCTTGTTTAGCGTTGTACTAAAAGAAGCTCAGAGGAGAAGACTGTTCATGTTTTCAGTGTTTTTTTAAGGTAGTGAGCATACAAGAGGGTGTAGCACTTTTAAATAAAATCCACCTGCTTCATGTTTTCTCAGAGCCTGTGACGTCTCCCCCCACCCTCCCCCTGGCCATCCATGAGCCGGTGCGTTGTACCTGCTCCATGCAGGGGACGGGCTTCTCCTGCCCAAGTGGGGTAGGAGGGCGGCCCTCCCTCATGAAGGTGGTAACAGGTGACATCCTGGTGGACATAACAGGGCGGAACGTGTCTGAGTACCTGCTCTTCACGTCTGACAGACTGCGCCTGCACAGGTAAGACCTTTTTTTCCCGAAGATAAAATCGGTTTTAAAAAGAAAAATATAAGTGGGGAGCACCTCGTAGGGATGAGTGTCATTTCACCTTTTTGAAATGGGTCTCAGTAAAGTAAAAAAAAATATTTATACAAATGTAAACATTAATTCAAATTGTTGTGAAAATCAGGTCAAAGCAGCTGTCAAATAGTGGATTTAAATGTGCATAGGTCTCTGGTCTCTCTGGTCTGTTTAAGCTTGTCAAAGAGAAAGAAAACAAAGCTTTAACTGATTGTTTCTGTATGTTCTGTATAGGTACGGTGGTTTAACAGTGGGGAACATCCAGAAATCAATCCCAGCATCCTTTGGGAGCAACATACCGCCAATGGTTAGAAAGATAGCAGTTCGCCGATCAGCTCAGGTAAGATGTGAACTCTGGACTAGACTCAAAGTTCACAGATACAGTATTAACTCATCACTGACGGTACCACTGCTCGTGTGCAGGTTCTGTACAACAACAAAGGTTACCACAGCATGCCAACGTATCTGAACGTGCTCAACAACGCCATCCTGCGTGCCAACCTGCCAGCCTCCAAAGGAAACCCTGCGGCCTACGGTAAAAACAGAAGTTACAACATTGATACACATTTGTTGAATGTCAAACACACAGAGCTGACGAATGAGTGTGTGTTGTTTTTTTTTTTTTACAGGTATCACTCTGACAAACCATCCAATGAACCGAACCAGTGCCAGCCTGTCATTGGACTACTTGTAAGTGTAACCCTAACCCTAGCTCTGATATTAGAACAAAAACCTGTCAACTAAATCTAAAAAGCTAGAGCTGTCGATCTTTTTGCAACAGAAATCTCAGGCTTCCTATCATACATTTGTTGATGTCAGTACATATGTCCTCTTGTCTCAGGATCATTGCTTGTGTGCCCTGTTTAAATTAATCTACAATCAAACATCTTTGGGCATAACATTCAAAACTTCTTAAGCATTTAAAGATACTCAAAAGAATAGATCAAAAAAAGAAAAAGTATTAATGGAAATGCTGTTTTTCTGTTGCAAACCAAATCTTTCATAACCCTCTGCTCATAATTATAACTTCTAGCGTTTTTCTTGTGTATTAAGAACTTTTGTAAGTTTTGGTGAAAGACATGTCCGGTTCTTGTATTTTCAAAATATATAACTTAGTTTTATACTTAATAATTATTTTTAATTTATGAACACACAAAAAGTTGGAGCGCGTATGTAAAGATTTACATTCTGACCTGACTTTTCAGACTGAGATTACATTGCATAGATCCGACCTGAAATTAGATTGAAGACCACATATGAATGTGGCCTGAATCCAATTTGAAAAGATCCGATTCCACTGGTGCTGTTCAGTCATAAAAAATTATAATCTTAGTCACATATGTGCAAAGGCTTTGGTCACTTTTGCCATCAGGGTAATTCTGGTCGAAGAAATGACATCTTAATAAGAAGTCTAATTTCTTTTGCAGCTCTCCAAGTATGATATGTCACATGGGTTAATTTGTCCCCTCTGCTGTGTCTGCAGGCTGCAGGGCACAGATGTGGTGATCGCAATCTTCATCATTGTTGCCATGTCCTTTGTCCCGGCCAGTTTTGTGGTTTTCCTCGTTGCAGAGAAATCGACAAAAGCCAAACACCTGCAGTTTGTAAGTGGCTGTGACCCCGTCATCTACTGGCTGGCTAACTATATCTGGGACATGGTGAGGAGGACAATGAGTGTGTGCATTTGTGAGTGCGTGTGTAGATACTGCACAGTTTGTCCAGGTGTGAACATGTTTTCTCCTCTTCTCTCCTCAGCTGAACTACCTGGTACCTGCCACTTGCTGTGTCATTATTCTGTTTGTGTTCGACCTGCCGGCCTACACCTCCCCCACCAACTTCCCTGCCGTCCTCTCCCTCTTTCTGCTCTATGGGTGAGACATCCTGCTGCTCACACAAACACACACATATATACACATTTTGGCTTTTTGCTTATCAGCCACTGTGCTCTGTTGGTCTGCCTTCATCTTAAAATATCAATTAACTACTTTCCAATAAAAATAGTCTCTGTAAAAGCATAAAAACTGTGTGTATTTACATTTGTATGATGTATGAACAGGGTGTCCCTGTTACATCCAACATGAAGGCACATTAGTGCAGCCAAATGAAAGGAGTTTAAATTTGCAGAGATCACTTAAAGACACAAATACTTTGCATTTAAGCCATCAAATAAAAATCAGCCCAGTGTTTTTGAGAGTCCAAAAAGCATCACAAAACACAGTTCAATGTTATTTAATGCTGTGCGGTGAAGGTTCTCTACGATCCTGATTCTTTAGAAGTCCTTTATTGCTGTTGCTGATGAGTTTCTTCTTCCAGGTGGTCCATCACTCCCATCATGTACCCAGCATCCTTCTGGTTCGAGGTCCCCAGTACAGCTTACGTGTTCCTCATCGTCATCAACCTCTTCATCGGCATCACTGCGACTGTCGCCACCTTCCTCCTGCAGCTCTTCGAACATGATAAGGTTTCTTTGAAATCCTTATCTTAACATCAGATACTGCTCGACATATTCTGAGGGTTTGACCTTAAACATAATATATTTATTTAATGCTTTAGAAAATAATAGATTAGATGTTGCTTCATATTGTCCACATATTTAGGGGATACATAAATAAGACTTGAACAAATGAACCTTCCTCAATAGATAAGCTCTCAATTGCTTCCCTTTATTTATTTTTAATATTTCTGTATTATTTCTGGACTGTTTTCTTCTCCAGGATCTGAAGAAAGTCAACAGTTACCTGAAGTCCTGCTTCCTCATCTTCCCCAACTACAACCTGGGTCACGGCCTGATGGAGATGGCCTACAACGAGTACATCAACGAATACTATGCTAAAATCGGTATGTTCGTGTGTGTGTTAGTGGTAATGAAAAAACACCCTAGATCTAATTCATGTGTGTAATATTATTGGACAATAATGAGGCTCCATGAAGAGTGAAGTAAATGAACAAGGCTGTGATATGCACATAAAACATTAGACAGTATGTAACGTTGTCTGTCTCTTTTCTTTAAACTTCTCCCAGGCCTTTGATACTGTTGATATTTGCATCTTACTTGACTTCTTGGTTTTAAGAGGGTTGTGTTTGGATGGTTTGCCAACTATCTTACTGCTAGAACCCAGGCTATTAAGTTAAAAGTTGTTGCCTCAGATATTCTACAAATCCATAGGGGGTACCTCAAGGTTTGGTACTGGGCCCACTATTATTCACTATCTAAATTGGTTGCCTTGGAAAAAGTATTCCAAATTCCTCTTTTTATGTTGATGATACTGTCATTTACTGCTTAAGCACTTACACCTGCACAAGCGTTTTGCAAATGTTCAGCTTGCATTTGATTTACCGTGGTACTAGATCAGCTTTATCAACTGAAACTTGTACAAAATGCAGATAAAACCAAACTTGTCTGAGAAAATTGTTAGGAAAGATGGGCAAGAAAATTAGTTATCTTTTAAATACTTTGGGCTTTTACTTGATGACAACTTTTCAGGGAGGATATTAAGTCTATGGCTAAAGAGCTGAAGGTTTTACTTAGTTTGTACTGCAGAAACAAGCCCTGTTTCTCCTTTTACATTTAAAAGATACTGGTGGAGGCTGCCTTTTGACCTGTGCTGTATTATGGTGATGTATTATACATGAACACTAATGTACTACTTAAAGTCCTAATATGTGGGACGGTGTGTATCATGATGCACTGAGATTCATCACAGACTGTGGCTCTCTTACTCATCATTGTACCTTTTACTCTAATGTCAACTGGACTACTTTAAGTTCATGCTGGCTTGGTCATTTGTATAGCTCCATTTACAAAGCCAATCTGTCGTCCACACAGTCCTAACTGAGTTGGGAAAGACAGAGGTTTCCTTTGGCTTGAAACAATCTGCAGTCTGATTTTAGACTACAAAACTAGGTTACCCTGAATGTTTTTAATTTAGAAGTGAAAAGTCTTGAATCCAGGCTTTCTGAATGCAAATGTTTGAGCTGATTATTTTAAGGTTTTTTAATTTACTGTATGAGTTTGATTGTTTTTGAAACTGTGAGTTGCTGCTATAATTGGCCAGCTCTCCCTTTTAAGAGAAATTTGATTTCAGTAGGACTATACAGAGGTTAAGTTAAAACATTACGAAAAATTGATGAGCTGCAGAGTGAACTAAGAAAGCTGTTTTCAATGTGTGTTTTCAGGTCAGTTTGACAAGATGAAGTCTCCGTTCGAGTGGGACATTGTGACCCGAGGACTTGTTGCCATGACAATTGAAGGGTTCGTCGGCTTCCTCATCACCATCCTCTGCCAGTACAACTTCCTAAGGAAACCTCCGTGAGTGTGAGGTGTCAGGTTAAACTGTCACTGCTTCAGATTTAAAGACAGACCTTCTATTTAGAACTGATATTTGAGATTCAAATTTGTGGCTCACAGAGAAGCATCTAGGTATGAATACAAGCTTCACCACTCAAAGTAGCAGGTACAGAAACATTCAGTGTATGCATGCAGTGCAACTTTAAGTGATTTGAGGATCAGTGATTGGAGATTTATTTAAGTTTTTTTTTCTATTAAACATTTTGAGACTGAAGTAAAGATGTTGAGAATAAAGTCAGAAGCAAGTTGAAATAATTTTTAAAACATTGTGAATACATTTTTATATAGTAATAAAGTTTTAAATCAAGAGAATAAAGTCAAGATTTCAGTTTTTTTGCCGAGTATAACGAAAATGAAACAAGTATATTGAACCGTAAATCAGAAGGGGAGATTTCTTTGATATTTTAATGTATTTTTAACATTTTGAATTTATTCCCGTAAGGCAGAAGGAAGGAAAACAGATTTCTGCTCTGATAAACTTTCCGGGAAAAATTTCCAAAATTAAGAGCTTTTTAACACTTTAAGTCCTCAGAAGAAAGGACACTGACTACCTTTTTTTTTTAATTGAGTGCAGGCTAGACATCTTTTCATTTTTTCATGAGATTTTTGTTTTTCCTTTTTAAGTTGAATACAGTGTATGTATAAATGCAATTATCCACTATGATCCACACTCTTATTCCGAGCTCTGATTTTATTGTATTTTTTAATTTAATTTTAATGTGTGTGTGTTTGTTCAGGAGGGTGCCGGTCAGCTGCCAGCCTATAGACGATGATGACGTAGACGTGGCCTGTGAGAGACACAGAGTCCTGCGAGGAGACGCTGAAAACGACATGCTGAAAATCGAAAACCTGACGAAGGTTTAAAACGTCCCCTCATTGGTGTCTAGAACATCTTGAGGAGACAGATTTTTTCAAATTAGGGCCAATTTGGACACAAAAACCTATTTTACTTAAACAACAATGAATCATTTTATGCATGATAGGGTTTCCACAATACAAGACTTTCATACGATTCTAGTAAAAACAATATTGAGTCCTAGACCCCCAATATTGTGTGTATATAAACATATATACAGTATATAAGTGCGTCTGTGTGTGTGTCATTTCTTGTTTTTTAGAATCAAAAAGTGCATCCTGTCTAAATTGTACAGAAACATCGTCAAAGCACGTTCCGAGAGTGAAAGATACGGAAAAAAATGAGCCAATGTTTTTGTGAATATACATATACAGTGTGCAGGTCTTTGCCTGACATTTTTTGATGACTCGATCCTCTCCTTTGCACCTGTCTTGTGAAATATGTGCATTTTCATATCAGAAAATGATCACAGTATTTAACATTTTGACAACCTTGTTAACTACAGCATGTTAAAAAGATCAGTACACATTAAAGATTGATAGTTAATTAGCGTACACTTCTTGGACTCTGCTTTGTCCCGCTCATGTTCATCTGTGCATGTTCATCAGGTGTATAAATCCAGGAAGATGGGTCGGATCCTGGCTGTGGACCGACTCTGTCTGGGGGTCCGGCCCGGCGAGTGTTTTGGTCTTCTGGGAGTGAATGGAGCCGGGAAGACCACCACCTTTAAGATGCTGACTGGTGACGAGTGCACGACCGGAGGAGAGGCCTTCATTAACGGAAACAGGTCAGGACCAGAAAACATGAGAAAACATTCAGTATTCTTTTTTTTTACAGCAAACACAGACGTCACATTAATGCAATGGTTGCCTGAAATCATGAAAAGGTTTTCAAAGGGTCTCATTAAACGTATTTCCAACAGGGCCTGATTCATTTTTGCTTTTAGTGCCTATTTAAATTAGTCAGCCTCCTTTTATACAAATGACCCTCATTGGAAAGAGGATTTAATCTGTTACCACCGGCGCTAACAGCTACTGTAAATGCAGATAGAGTGAAAAATGTACAATCAGGACAGAGTTGGTGGTTACTGCGATGCAGTATTTATAAGATAAGTCACGCACAAGCTCTGCAGTAGTCAAAAAAACATTTCCAACTTTTTATGACCCCAAATAAATGATCTGTGTTTATGTTGCGTGCCCCAGTGTGCAGAGGCTGTGGTCCTTGTCACAGCTGCTATGGGTTTTGATTCCGACCACGGCCCTTTGCTGTATGTTGTCCCCCTCTCTCTTCTCCCAACATTTCCTGTCTGTCTTCAGCTGTCCTATCCAATGGAAGCAAAAATGCCCAAAAATATCTTTACAAAGCATGTCTGTTAATATTACTTTGACATTATTATGACTATTATATTAACATTCGTAATCAGTCTGGGGATGCCCAAGGCTCAACCCTGCACATGTAGCATGTGTAGAGATGGCTTTGGGACGTGGGTGTATTTTTCAAGTTGTCCTTTATTGTTATAAATAATGAAACTTGGGTCAGTTTCTCTCCGCATCCAGACGCAGAACAATGAATATCAATATGAAACAATTAAATGTCATTATCACTAGATGCTTTGTGAGTTGCACCTTGACAGAGCAGAGAAATACATTTAATATGCAATCCATGGTGCTATACGCAGGAGCAATCCAATTAAGTGAATTCACTAATTCACTGAGTATACTTACATTTATGTATCAACAATTTGTGTTTTACCATGACAATGCCTTTCTGCATCTCTGAACCTAATGCTCTTGTGACTGAATTTGGAAGAAAACCTGCAAATATCTGCTGGACAGACTGACAGCAGAAGAGTGGATGTCTTCAAAGCATCCCTCAAAGTCATCGGCATATGTGGAATTCAAAAGAATAGCTTAATATCTGTTGGTGTGTGTGTGTGTGTGTGTGTGTGTGTGTGTGTGTGTGTGTGTGTGTGTGTGTGTGTGTGTGTGTGTGTCAGTATCCTGAAGGACCTGCTTCGTGTGCAGCAGAGTATCGGTTACTGTCCACAGTTTGACGCTCTGTTTGACGACCTGACAGCCAGAGAACACCTGGAGCTCTACACTCGCCTCCGTGGGATTCCCTGGAAGGACCAGGATAGGGTCAGTCCCTCACACGTACATTAAAAACACACATAAACACACATCGCTGTGTTTAACAATTACATGGCCGAGCCCATAAACTTCAACATCACATACGAATGCAAAACCCAAAACTGGGAAGCAACCAGGGAAGACATCTGTTTTTAAATGATCATGGAATTAAAATCTGTAGTAGGTCGAGCATAACTTAAGTTTGTATAGATTTTTAGTTTCATTTTTAGTTTCATACATTTGATTTCATATTATTTTATAATATTTCACATTACTTTAAGCACCAAGACTTATATAGCATTGTATTTCTATAACAAATCAATACTATTAAAATACATTTGCCGTCTGCTGATAAAAGTATTGAAAAAATCAAATAATGTCTTGAATGTTTTAAAAACTTTAATGTTTTTAGATAGACGATGAGGAAAAACTGCAGCACCCTGTCTCGCTTTATGCTGATTCATTTATTAAATCAGACAACATCTTGGTCTAACTGACCTTCATCAGGTATGAAGGCATCATCATTTCCATGTTTGTATTATACTGTATACAACCACAGAGACTGCCTGAATTTTCAATTAACCAATCAGAGGACTGGATTGGAAATATTTTGATGCTTTCATTTTATCTGATGAAGGTCGGTAACACTGAAACGTTGTGTGATTTAATAAATACATCTGTTTAAAGTTACACAGTGTGCGGCAGCTTTTCTCATCATTTTTAAGTTTCACCCTCCTCCGTCACCTGTCTCATATTCAGGTGTGCAGAGATTTTAACATTTTTTTTCAATGTTTCTAAAAATAGAATCGTTTGTTGTATGCTTATAGCTTAGATTGCACAGATTAATACATTTTTGAAAATACTAATACTAAATACCACAAAAAGTGACATCACAATAATCAAAAATATAAATGTCGGAACCTGCAAACATTTAGTGTTGTCGAGTTATAAGCATTAAAGTAAAAGACTGACACCTCACAATGAAGAAATGTTCTCTCTACACGGGTTTGAAACATCTTCACCTCAGTCTCCTCTACACCTTAATAAACTTATACAGTACATCTCCATCAAACCGTCACACTGACTGACCTCCACCCTCCTCCAGGTGGTGCAGTGGGCGTTAGAAAAGCTGGAGCTGTCAAAGTACGCAGACAAACCTGCCGGGACGTACAGCGGAGGAAACAAGCGTAAGCTGTCCACAGCCATCGCTCTGATCGGATACCCCTCACTCATCTTCCTGGTAAGAAGATTGTACAGGTATGCATGTTGGATGGATGTGCTGCATCGGTCTTTATTAGAAACAACATGTATGTTAAATTATTTATTTAAAATATTATATTACTGAAGCCGTTGGAACAGAGTGTAAGAATATCACATCATTAAAAATACCATACCCAGCTCCATACATCCTTATACGCTGATGATGTCCTTCTTTTGCTCTCTGATATAAAGCTCTCTCTTCCAAAACTATGTAGAATGAGAAATACTTCAAATGTTTGGTCCTCCAGCTGTTCTTTTCTTATATATCAATCGTTTATTTTATGTATGGCTTCTTCTTTACATATTCAATCAGGAGAGACTTAAGTCAGAGTTTACATTTATTGATTTAACAGTTTAGGAGAAGATTATGCAATGTCTTTGGCGATGAGACTCTATCATGATGACTTCATGCATTCAGCAGGCTAGTGTAGACCCTGGTGGTGATGATAGGAGAGTGCAGGATGTGATGAGGAGTTGGTTTCTGAGGCTGTATCTGAACTCTGCTGAGCTGGACTGGAGGTGACTGGGGCGGAGGAGGGTCGCAGCGATCGCACTGAAATGACAGACTGACTGTGGAAGAGAGAGAATACAGGGAGAGATTTGACCGCAGCAGGATGATTGGTTGAGAGAGGTTGTGGCAGAATCTGGTTGGTTGATTACTTAAAGAGTAAACGCCCATAACCAGCTGATCACCAGAGCAGGGAGACTGAGGGAGTGGTAGAGAGGGAGTGGCCAAGTTGAATGAAGAAAATTGAATGAATTATGGGAGAGAATATAACCAGATTTCTTGCTTGATCTTACACTGAGCTTCTGTTAATCAGAAACTGCTTATACCTGTTGGGGTATATGTAACTTTTATTTTGACTTTGAATTGTTCTTTTTGTTATGTTCTCCAGGATGAGCCCACCACTGGGATGGACCCAAAGGCTCGCAGATTCCTTTGGAATTTAATCCTCGACATCATCAAGACAGGACGCTCTGTAGTGCTGACATCACACAGGTGAGACACCTCAGTCCACACACACACACACAGAGAAGATACTTTGACTGTACTTTACTTGATATATTATCTCATGTTTCCCTCTGCAGCATGGAGGAGTGTGAGGCTTTGTGCACCAGACTGGGCATCATGGTGAACGGCAGGTTTAAATGTCTGGGCAGCATCCAACACCTGAAGAACAGGTGAGCAGGAGAAGATGTGTTTACAGAGGTTGTGTAGTGTGTGTATTTTATACCGAGTTTCATATTAATGCTGACAGTCATTTCCTGGTCATCTGTCTCAAAACTTAAATCCTATCAATTCTAAGTAAACAAGTTATGACACGTTCAAGAAATAAACATTTTACAGCTGAAATAGGACGAGAATTATATGTTTCTGCAATTTGTGAAATAAAACATTACTCAGAATACAAAGTCAGATCAAAGATAGGTCTTAAGTTGCTTTAAAAATAAGCAGTGTGTACATTTGATGCATACAAACTAAAATCTCTGTCCCTTTTGTTGGAGACATAAAAAATAAAAATAAAGAAACTGAGGATCAAATTGATCCAGCTGTTACATAAAAATTAAGAAGATCTGTGATGTGTGGAGGAACATGTAGAGGTCATGTAGAGCTTTATAAAAAGAGTTAAAATAACTTTAAAATGACCTCTGCTGCAGCATGTTACACAAACTGAAGCTCTCTTTGAGATGTTTGTGTAATCCGGTAAAAATTGAGTTATTATAAATCTATATGGCTAGTGATTTAAGCACGAGTTAAAAAAAGTAGCATCTTCATGGGATAAAAATGGTCTGACTTATAGGATATTTCAAAGATTCAAAAAGATGTTAGAGTGACTGTTACAAAGAGGATTCAGTTCAAAATTCGATCATTCTAAAATCACTTGTGTTTTCTGTGTCGCAGGTTTGGAGACGGCTACATGATCACAGTGAGGACAAAGAGCAGCTCTAATGTGAAGGAGGTGGTTCGATTCTTCAATAGAAACTTTCCTGAGGCCGTGCTGAAGGTAGGTTTCTTTATACCCATCAATCCTAGAAACCCACGAGCACCTAGCATCTTATGAGCACCAAACAAGTTATTTAATAAACACACTGAGGGTCTTTTTCAGGACATTTCTTTATAAATCTCTTCTTTATATATATATATATATATATATATATATATATATATATATATATATATATATATAAAAATATAGGAGATACCTTACCCCTTCTCTATGAGCTGTTTCGGACTTGAACCCCTCTGTTATTGTGTTTCCAGGAGCGTCACCACACCAAGGTCCAGTACCAGCTGAAGTCTGAGCGGATCTCTCTGGCTCAGGTGTTCAGTAAGATGGAGCAGGTGGTGGAGGTTCTGGGCATCGAGGATTACTCAGTCAGTCAGACCACGCTGGACAATGTGAGCCAACATGAAACATTCATTAACAACCATGACCCAGATGGACTGAAAACCTAAATATTTAACAGTGAAGCTCCAATAAGTTAAAAGGAAAATGAATGATTATAATGAATGTTGTTGTTTTTTTCCCACCCAGGTGTTTGTCAACTTTGCTAAGAAGCAGAGTGATAACCTGGAGCAGCAGGAGGTGTCGCCCCCTGGTGGTAGACAGTCACCCCTGCAGCATATCCTCAACCTGCTGAAGTCTCGTCCGGCAAACACGGAGCTGAACGCGCTGATCAGCGAGGCGCCTGAGGAGCTGGAGAGCGACGATGACGAAGGACTCATCAGCTTTGAAGAGGAAAGAGTGAGTGGATCGCACCTTTCATTTTTATGTATCATATCTGATTGGCCAGTGGGCAATTTGATTTTGATCTCTTATCTAGAACAAAACCTGTTCTGGTAAGAAGTGAACCATGTCCGTAGTCCTCAGAACAAAGAGTTAACCCTGAAGTTACTCTCAAACAGAAAGTCCTGCTTGGTAGTACAGGCTCCTGCTCTTGCTTTGATTTGATGCTATGAAAATAAAATCTCTTGACTGACTGACTGATTTATTGATGTGTGTTTGTTCGGCAGGTGCAGCTCTCCTTTAACACAGACACTCTTTGCTAAAACCAGCTGCTGAAACAGGGAGCGACAGAAGCGGTTGGTCTGAGCTCTGGGGCGGAGCACAGAGCTGCAGATTGAACCCAGAAGAGGCACCTTAACAAGAGGACCAGCAAATCAGTTTTTACGCCTCAAATTCTTCACCCAGGAGGGACGGAGGGTTTGAAATTGGATCAGACGGACGTGAAGAACCTGCAGAGTCTGAGACAGCGTGCTTGAAGACTTTGTCCTTGAATGTTTCCATATTTATGTTTTTTTTTAGAGAATGTATCTCCGGATGGTGGATGGAGACTGTAGGCGAGACTCCACAGGTTACTCTTGATTTGTACGCCTGCCAAAGAGCCTGTGACCTGAGAGTTCCTGCACCCAACTCGACCTGCCTTGAGAGCATGCTGTGATGAAGTAGTTATGTAATACAGTCTATTTTTCTGTGGCAAGAAGAGCGATTTATTTTGGATATTGAAGCAGCTGCAGACTGAGGTGTGAGATTTATTTTGCACTAACAGAGGACTGAGTGAAACGCGCCATGGGAAAGTGCGCAGCTGTTGGCCTTTTCTTTTTTAACTTGATGTCAGAGACAGAGAAAATGTAACGGCATGGTTCTTGTCCTGATGGTGCCTCCCCTCTATAACACTGTACAGTTAATCTTTCTACTGAATGCTCCCATTCGTGCGTTTAACATTCATTAAGTTGTGGACTCTGCCAAGAAGATCCTCTCTGAACCGGACACAGTGTAAAATAATAAGAATACCTGATCTCTGCTCCTATTCCCTGACAATAACTGCACTACCATCACTGTGATACTAAAGAGGACTCTCAGATCAGGAGAATCTCTTATTTAACACGAGTACATGTTTTATTATTTTCAGATACTTTTCTGTGGGATTTTAAGAAATCCAAACGTGCACATATATCCACGCTTACAAAACCATGGTTGTTTCTCTGACCGTAAGTTTGGTTTGAACTGGTCGCTCTCATGACTTTTGTGATGATTACGTTGTAACTTGTTCACTTTCTTCTTTCACAGCTTATTAGAGTCATATTTTTGGTGTTAATCATTGCACTGGTGAGCTGTTTTCCTACTTGAAGGGGTTGTCATTAAACAAGAACAAAACTGACTCCTTCGTCTTTTTTCTTTTGGAGGAGGGTCGGTTGATTAAAGGTCACATACTATCTTCCTTTTCAACCAGTTTAAATAAATCTCAGAGCTCCCCAAAACATGTCTGTGAAGTTTCTTGTTCTAAATCCACTCTGATCCTGTATTTGATCATGTCTATAAACCCCTCTATTTCAGCCCTGCTCAGAACAGGCTGTTTCTGTGTCTGTAACTTTAAATGCAAATGAGCTGTGTCTGACCACGCCCCTCTCTGGAAGGGCTTGGGAGGCTCGGGCTTTCCTGTGTCATGTCAAATTAATTTTTTAATCCTAAAACCTGATTTTCCTAATTTACACTAACCAGGGGACACTTTGTGAACTTGTGTTCTGCCTCAATCTACATTTTACCCACAAACTATGGCAAATATTTAAATTAACCTAGACTTGCAGAAAAACAAGTCTCACTCTTTCTCTGTCTCTCTCAGACACACATTGACACACACACCCACAATGACACATAAACCCACATTCTCTCCTTCAATCTGAGGGACATACGTCTGGGCAAGGCAATCCGTTTGCCTAACTGAGGCTGACGTTCTCTGTGATGTTTGGTTGGCTCCCTGTCTTTGATCCTTCAGGTACAGAGGAAGTGAAGCCTACAGGGACATCTCATCCGCTCATCCCCATTCTCTCTCTTTCTGATCAGCTGCAAAGCTGCATCATAATACAAACATTTCTGATATACGCAGCTTTGGGTCTTGCAAATAAATTGAACAAGTTGGAGTCTTTCAATGAATGTCTTTCTTTCTGCTGTTTAACAGGACGTCTGATACAGGCCCCAACTTTAAAGTCCCTGTAAAGTGAAATCAGCAATACGTCTCCAAGCACGCTAAATATGTTGCAAGAAGATAGCTTTAAACATGTGAAAAGACTGAGAACTATGTTTGATTGATTTCCGATTTTTGACCGTTTTTACGGTTTTCTCAAGTTTCAGTTCTAGGTTTTAATGGGCGGAGCTAAGTCGAGTCGTTATGACGTAGATTTTATTTCACATTTCTACTAAATTTATGACCCAATGTCAATACAGATTCATGTTTCAACGGGTGAAGTATCCCTTTAAGTCTTGGCATCTCTGACACAATTGTTAGGCCTATATATCCTTATAATTATTCACAGAGCAGACGGAGTTTCCCACAAAAAAATGTGGCTAACAATTAAAAGTTTTTGTTTGTTGACCAAACTTTTGATTAATAATATCATAGAGTGAGGAAGAACCACAGTCTATGGGGAGAACGCGGACTGAAATGTCCTCTCTGTCAATATCTGAAGAAATCAGTGTGGGTCCCTTAAACATGTCAACATTGCAGATATACTCGTCCGTAATGGTGAACGGTGGATGTTTTGGCACATAGGACAGTGTGAATGCAGCAGCAACGTGGTGTCATTCTCTGATATTTTTTCAGTTTGTGATCCTCCTGCTGCAGTAAACTACCGATATGTCCATTTTAACCATCACTTCATTCACACGGTCCTCCATTTCTGGGTCAGAAAGTTTCGTTTCTTTGTCTAAACTTCCGGTTTTCACCGCAGTCCAGCACTGGAAACCTCTGATCTGAGCTGCTTTGCTTTGACAGTTTATGGTTGAATGTGGGCGTGTAGAGGGCGGGACATGGGGCTAATCTACGTGTGCACATTTCCAGGTGGATCGTGATTTATAAAGGGAACATTGCGTGCACGTGTGCGTACAAACGGTTTTATAAAATTTAAGTATTGCCATGGTAACAGCGAGCTCTACCAATCAGAGCCATCGCTGTGACACTCTACGATCGTGGGTGTTCGTACGAATTTTCATGAAATTCATTCATCTTGGTAACTTCGTGAAATGTATTATTCAAGTCTGCCTACCACGTGTTAACACTCCTACCTTTAGGTGTCTGAAGCTGTAACCGTATATGAGCGAAGCACCTAAGTAGTAGCAGATCTATATATGGAGAGGAGCCAACTATATGTTGTCAGCAACTGTTTGCTAGACAGAGAGTCTACATCTGATACGTATACAAATCAGTGTCATGTCATCTTTATTGTTTTATGGTGATGCACCCAAATAGAAAGGAATTTGTGGGTTGCACCTTTTTGACAGAATATAAGCAGCACTGTGAACACTGTTACTTTGTCAGCACTTTCAGTCAAGTGATTTGGAAGCATGCTTGTTTGATGAAGTTGTCTGACCTCGGCCGATTAAATGGTGTTATAATCTCCAGTCTGTTTCACGATTTCTTCATTGGATTTATACATTAGAAACAAACCCCACCTAACAGTGGGCATTGTAGTTACTTTCCCTGATATTGAGAATAAACCCTATTTTTCTTAAAACTAGGTTGATATCATACAAACTTGCGTCTCCTAAAGGAGCATATCATCGTTTCACACTCAGATACCTTGTGGTCAGTCTACCTTAGATAGTTATGACATTATGGATAATAATTAAATCAACTATGGAGAAAACAAATGGGATTTTTACTTAATGAACCACACTTCAGCCCTATTGTTTACGGTGAGAAGACAGACTCAGAGGGCAGACACCTAGCTGTGGGAGTGTCACCCACCTGGGGGAGGGGCTACTGCCCTTTGTGATGTCATGAAGGGATAATCTCCAAACAGCCTGTTTGAGCACACATTTCTGAAAAGTGGTGCAGGCAGAAGACAGACAGGATGGACTTCTTTCATAATTGGGGTAGAGTCACACATGTGACCTTTAAGATTTCCCATGATTAATTATAAAAATAAAAAAATTATATTTATGTACCGTACATATTAGTTTATAAAACAAAAAACTTAACACACATTCAGAATATATTCTCCAGTTTATTAATTTAATTTCAGGATTCAGTTAAAAATTAACCTTCATATTTTAATGGTTGCAGCCTCATTCAGCTGAACATAGAATTACACATTTAATCCATTAACTTTAAAATACCTTTAAAATCAATGTTCAAGTTGTGGTTGTGATAAATATCAAGCATTAAAAGTCATTTATCATACAAGTCATTTAAAAAAAATGCCAAACTTCATAATGAATTAAAAGAAAGAGGAGGAATCTGAAGGTTTAGTCTTCATCTGCTTCATCGAAAGCCACGCCGGTCGCTCGCAGCTTTCTGTAACAACACATCAACATTTCTACGTTACAGACACACAGGTCAGAATGATCGCCTGGAAGAGGTTTAGGACAGACGTGTTTTATACTTTTTGGTTCCTGGGTTGACGAGTGAAGCTCCTGGAAGTCGTTTCTTCAGCGTCACTGACGGAGCTCCGTTCTGCTGCCTCGGCTCAAACTCTGAGGAGGGAAAATATCTGTGAGCTCAGAGACTGACCCAACAACAAGAGCATCATTAGCGCCACACAAGCTGGTGAATCTCTGCCACAGGGGAATGACCTGAAATATTTGTGTTAACTCTTTTTCAAATGATGCACGTTTGTTTGATCAGTTTTCTGCCACATAGAAACAACAGACAACTCTGTTCCTGCTAAAGAAAACTCTAAAAAAGTATGACTTTACATTATTTGTCTCATTTTCTCAAGTCAAGAACAGATTATATATATATACAGATATACATCATTTTAAATGAATAAATCCGATTCTAATTCCTGGAGTATAATTTTCTATATTTTAAAGTGCATGTCTTATCATGGAGACATTATGGTAAACTTAATATTTGGTTCATAACCCTAACCCAGTATATCTAATCCCTCTATTGGGTTAATTAGTTGCATTCAAATGTTTATAAAAACACTGTTAAATAGGGTTGATCAATAATATTGTGTTGACGAGAAGAAAAAAAACATCATAATATACTGAACAGTTCCAACCTTTTCTCCTAAACGAACAATTGACCAGATACGATTTATTTTCTCTCAGAGTGGAATCTGAAGGTCACAAGTACAGACTGTGAAACACACTGACGCTATAACCAAACACACACCATTAATTTATGTTGAAATAAATCAGATATTCTTCTCTCTTAAAAGAAATCAGTTCCACCAAACTTTCCCTAACTAAATGTCTCCGTCCTTCTTCTTTTCTTTTGGACAATAGGAGAGTTTGTTTAAAGTATCTTTTATTTTATATTGTGATAATCATATTGTTGTATTTTGGATTACTGCTTTCTTCTTAACCTTTGACCTGACTATCTAAGCTGGGTCTTTTTCATGTACCTACATGACCTACCTCTGGAATGACAATAAACCACCTTGAAGCATCTACTCTACTTTTTTCTTTTCAAGTTTGACAACTTGTAAAACACCCTCGGCTTCAGCAAATGGAACACTTTTGGAACGCCGCCGCGCTCATCAATGTCACTTCTCCCTCACCAACTAACCAAAATCGAGAATAAAGGCGGGACACCTGATATCAGCTGTGTCCAAAAACAATGGGGATCACATTTTTCTTATGCAAGAGTAATTATTCTTTTATAATAAAATATGTACAGTTACTTAACTATCTATTATAAAAAAAATTCTAAAGCGCACTGGGTTGTAAGAAGGGTTATTCTCAGTACACTGGGTCTTTCTCTAACCACTCCGTTTGTGCGGTACATGACGGGTCTGCAATGCAAATCCTCTCACACAGTGAGTCTGCACCGATGCTGATTTACGGCCCAGGTGTAACACCTTTCATTGTTCATCATGGGAGACGCTTTATATATAAAAGTTGTAATCACCTGCATGCAGATTGAAACTATAAAAAAAGCCACCCAATATAAAGGGAGTGTTCTCTTGTTTTGTGGAGTGATATTAATGAGTCAGCATAATGATATATATGTGGACAACTTCATGAGGGACATGAAACCATGGTAACAAATGCTATTGCTGTTTCCATGGGAGTGAGGGGGGGTTCGTCCCTAACCTTGCTGTATTTATCTCCTCTACATTAATGGGGGGGGGGGGGAATTCATTCAGTTGTGGGCTTGAGGTCAAACAGTGTTAGTGTTAGTGTGGAGGGACCGATTTGACAAAGGTTACAAAAAAAACCTGGGGTATATAGTTTTAGAAAAGGATAAACTTGTACCTGTGTGTCTCCTCTGAGGATGTTTCACTGGACTGACTGAAGGAGACCCACCTGCAGTTTATAACAAACAAAAAAACACAGTTAGCAGAGTGACATTGAATTTAACTATACATTGTTCCTGTTCAATAAAAAAAAAAGTCAAACAAACATTTACTGTCGCTCTGCACGAGGCTGTCGGCCAACTTGAACAGCAGCTCCTTCAGCTCCTCTCGGGCCTGAGGACCCTCCAGCCTGTTCAGGGTCATCCTGAGGCCAGCTGAACTGGAGCCCACATGGAGGTCTGCACTCGAGTCGTGGACCACAACAGACACGTCACCACTACCACAGGCCGACCTGTGGGAAACATTCAGCGACATTCAGCCTCGATAATCACTGTTACATCACATTTACGTGTTCATGCAGGTTATTCAGGAAGAGATGAATCATGTTAAATAAAGTCTAAGCTCACCTGAGTTTGAGTATGAAATCATCTGTAGACGTCAAGGCAAACCTCTTTCTCTAAACAAACAGCAATGATTACAAGCAGAGCTACAGCAGGAAGAAAAACCTTCACTGATGCACACAGAGAGAGACGAGGGACCACAGAGGGGTCTGCAGAGGAAACTTACAAACTGCTCCTGAGTGTCTGCAGTCAACTCTGAGCTCCAAACATCAGCAGCGTCTGTCAAACTGCAGCAGGTAAAAACAGACACATTAAATCACACTTGGTCATTACGTAATGCAAACAGAATCCATTCATCACATGGTGGTTGATGAGTTTTTATATATACAGCAAAGACATCTCCGACTCTGTTTCAAATCAGCTTTTCCACATTCATATTTCCTAAAGTGGAAATTAAAAAAATGTGATGTTTTTCAAAACATTGAAACAAAACATATATATATTTTTTTCAACACAAAGGCAACAAATCAAATGTTGACTTGAAAGTGAGAAATGTTATTGTTTTGGAAAAATTGGATTTCTGAACTATGTTGTCAACTTACAAACTTATTTTTGTCAAAATGCAATTAACAAGTTTTATTTTCATGACACAAACCACTGAAACACTGCATGTTTTCTTGTTTAGACCTGATGTCATTCTCTGCAAATAAATGCTCAAAATGACAGACTTGTGCTTCAAATGGTAGTTTATCGAATACAACATAAATATTCATACCTAGAAATATTAAAACCTGAGATAATTATATATCCTTTCCTTCCGTTGTTTAATTCCAGAGATGTGGTAATATATGTAGTATCTTCAGAGGGAGGAGGTCATTGTTCCAGACTGCATTTCAATAAAGTCAACTTTACACATAGTTTGTGTTTTTCTATTTTAACGTTGCTGTTAGAATAAAACTGAAGACTGCATTTTGTATGTTTATTATCACTCTTAGATTCGGCTTACAGTTTATATAGTAAGAAACTATTTTCAGAAATCTATTTAACTTTCAATTGTTTATCAGTATCATGGTGAGATGTGCCATGATGAGTCATTCAGTTATAATGCACTTTACTCCACCGTAACAAGCACAGCACCGATATTAAACTCTGATAAACACTGGAATAATCAGAAAGTCTCGGATTTAAAAAGAACATTTGATAAAGATTCACTGTTGAGATAACTTTAATGTTTATCTGTAACACGTCCATTGACTCACCCAATGTGACACACTCCGGGTTTTCTCTTGGTGTAGCAGATGAATTTACTCTGGCTCTTTTTATCCAGCACAGTGCAGCAAAATGTTTGGTTCCCTTCCATGTTTGTTTACTAACGAGGAAGAAGAGCTAAATAATAAAGTCTTCTTCGACGGTTTATTTAAAAGTCGTCTTTGTCTTCTTCGTGGAATCTTATTGCTGAGTGGCAAACCGGCGCATTATCTCCACCTAGTGGCCTGGAGTGTGTAGCTGTTTTCTATTTTCTTCTTCTTTTCTTCTCTTTTTTAAACAGCGATTTCTACAAGGCTCATAGATGAATCCCCTAGTCCTGATTTGACATTTTTTTCGTCGGTAGATAAGGAAGTTAAAAAAAAAATCTTTAAAAACTTTGTGCATGTATATATAATGAAATACAATATTTTGACCTGTTCTCAAAGCCTGACTACATCGTTTTTTTTTGTTTGTTTTGATTATTCATTTCTACATTATTTGAGTAATTTCCTGACAACATGTAATTAGAAATTTTTGTTGTCTTATGCACTATTCTTATTGTCTTGAAGAAAAAAAACATGTTCGAAATAACGACTTCAATCAATCAATCAACGTTAGAGAGCTAAAGAGAGTGCTAAATTGTCAGTACTGTCATTGTTTTTACAATTCTTCAATTTAATTTGGTAGATGCTTTTTTTCAAAGTGACGTAGGCCTCTATCTGAGAGTAAGTACAACACAAGCAAGGACAGAGGCTTTAGGTACCGTCTTATTATACACTTCATATGTTTATTATTTCATATGTTTTTTTTTCATAAATATCAATTCAATTCAAAACTGTTCCTGAAATGTTCATGCCTGTTTCAGGAACAATTTTACAAAGGCATAAAAGATGTATACTATGTAATACTAAGACTAATCTGTTGTATAAAATATACTTTTAAAATAAATTAGACTTGACTATTTATAAAAAGACAAATGTGAATGAGAAAATGTTCAGGAAATCTTTAAAAACATTATAACATTTATTAAGATGTGCATTTCATGCTGCTAAAAATATCAAATCTGTAACAAAGAGGTAAACTAAAGATTAAAAAAGGGAGTCACATGAATATAATTTAATTTAATTCAAAAGATTTATTGTCACAAAAGTTTCAGAAGCATCAAGTATAAAAAATTAACAAAGATTTGAGACGTGAAAATATAAAAAACAATTGAACTGGTTAATAAAATGTGATGTTATTTTAATAATTTACACCAACACTACAGTACCCACACACCCCAGGCATTTATTTTATGTCCAGCCCCTTTTAAACTACACAAAGAATAAAGTTCTTTACACGCTCAAACAAAAAAATCTTTCAGAGTCAAAGTTTCCTGACTGAGTGCACATCTCCTCTGGCTGAACATGTGTCACAGCCTAATACAACAAAGACTAAATCATATCTCCATCATGGTGTATGTCGACTGGACAAGGTCCAAATAAAAATGGAATCAGTCTTCTGAAAAAAAAACAGAATAAATTATCAATGTATTAAAGCCTTAAACACAAACATAGAAAGGTAGTTTGTTTGTTTAAATACAACATGAGAAGAGTTAAACATGTTTTGTTGCACATTTTCTAAATGCATTAACACAAATAAATTGTTATCATAAGACATTTTGTATATTTATGAATTCAATAGATATGTCATATATATTTAAATCGTACCATATTTACAGAAGAAGCTACGTTTTTACCTTACGGTTGTCTGTTATTGTTAAGCTGTTTTCTTTCATATTAAATCCCTGAATAACTTACTGATGTAACACATTAACACATTAAGTTTTTTGAACAAAAAGTGCATCAACCTTTAATAAACACTCTGAGACTTTTCAGCTCAATAGCTGAAACTACTGTAGCTTCTCATCTTTATTTTGTATTTATTCCCTCACCATGTTGCATAAAAGTAAAGTTCAAACTGAGAATTCTTTCTCCTGATTTTTAGAAAATGAAAAGGATCAATAAAATATTTTTGAATTGTTGTTTGAGTCACTGACACATCAATAACTTTGTTAAAGAGTTTCAGTTCATGGTCATACAGTATGTATCTATAGTGGCGCTGTGAAGACGGTCAGTAACATCAACGTCCTGGCTGTGTAACTAGCAGAGAACCTTGCCTTTTAAAATTGAAACCATAATTAAAAAATGCTCAACAGAGACTACAGAGGGCACTCACTGCAGCCCCCACCACCTTCTACAGGGGAACAATTAGACCAACCAATTTTAGAATTAAAAACCTGCCGAACATTATCAGCTGACTAGGATAGTGAAGACAGCAAGACCCTTTTTTCTGCTGCATCATTACCATCAGTGCTGTGCTCCCAGGGCTTCAGGCATCATCAGAAACCCTTAACATCCATCCCACAAACTGTTCTCCAAACTGCCCCCCCCGTCAAAGCTAAACCGAATCACTATATCAGACCAACCTTGGTTGCACTCATACCCTGCACCTTTAATAAATGAATGAATGACTGTACACTTTTCCTTTTCTTTATTAAATGTTCTCAGACTTTGGCTTTTATTCAAATTTTTGGAGGGATGTTGTAACCAGATACTTCAAAATGTGAATGTCCTTGTTTCTGTATTCAGATAAATAAAGACAATGATGACAAAGACACTAATTCATGATAACTGTCAATAGTTGTATACTGTACATCCAGAAGTAAGACACCCTTCAGAGATGTGAGCTGCTCCTGTAAAACGATCTGAACTCCAGAACCCAGATGTCTCACAGCACCTCTGAAGGACACTAAGGGATTGTGGATTTTGTCACTGAGTGTGGGCCTGTATCCACTGGCAGAACCTGCGTGAGTATTTGTCAGGGCTGACAGTAGAAAAGGCTCTGCCCGGGAAGCGGAGACTTTTCCACAGACCCTCCAGTTTTTTCTTCCAGCCGTAGACGGTGAAAACGTCTATGATGCCCACAAAGTAGCGACGATCCGGCCCGTCGATCACGTGAACAGCATTTTTGCAGTTTGGGAGCAGCCTACAATGATGCTCCTGGAAGTCCTCCAGTTCTGAGTCACTCCTGTTCTTTCTCACAGAGCTGTTCATCTCCTGGAGGGGGATCTCCTCAGCTGAGCCCTCACCTGCTGATGCTGCTGCTGCCTGAGGCTGCCCGCTCTCACGCTCTGCAGCATCTGCTGTCTCCTCCAGTAATGGGACAGTGGGGGGGTCTTCATCCGTTGGACTTTCATCAAAGTCGAAAGACCTTCAGGAAAGAAAGAAAAAAACCAAAAAAACAGAAAATGATGTGAGGGTTATCTTACCTTCCACAAATCATCCGTCTGACACCTTTATGATCAGATTTACTTTTCAGTTATTCTAACCAGTGGCTGTTGGCTGTTCTCCGGGAGGGGATCAAATTACATTTTTTATGTGAAGTAAGACAGAACGCTCCTTAAGTTAAGAGATGCTTAGTTTGTAACACTACAGTTGTATCATTGGTCAAAAGTCTTAAAAAGGTTTGAATAACTTGAGCTAGAAATTATCAGCAAATCAAGGGGGCGCTACAGCTAGCAGGCATCTGCTAACTAGCACAAGTTTTGTATTGACTTCTCTATATTAGCGTGAAATGGCTCTACAGTACAGCCTGTACTACTAGTTCACATCTAAGTTCAGTGTAAGAGCAGATGATGAGTGTTGCTTTTTGAGTCATAGCCTCCGGAACTGAATGTGAGTGGGACACAGGGAAGGAGAAGTGAAGGTCCAGACCGCGTCCTCTAGTGGATACTTTTTTGAGAGGACTATATGGCTAGTGGCAGTAATGAAGTGTAAAATGTATGCAATCTGTTTGCATCTGTAACAGCATTCTCTTTCCAAAATGATTCAACCATTATCATGAAAAGTTAGATAATGGTAAGAGCTTGTTTGAGTTATAATTCTGAAATTAAAATTGTACAGCACATACATTTTAATAAAGCTGAAAAACAGCTTTATGAAAAGCTTGGTTTTACATACGTATTGCACTGCACAGTAAATGGTTGTGCACAAAGAATATAGATACATAACCTACTTTGTGGTGCGAACAACAAGGTTGGCCAGAGAGTGTTTCCCTTCCAGCTCGTCTCTGTGCAGAGGCTGATGAGCCACCAGGAGGCTGTAGTCCAGGACGTTGAGCCCCTGAAGGAACGTAGCGTCTTTTTTCACTTGACTGTTGAACCAAGATTTCCCCTGATCTGCAGAGACCACACGAGCATTTCTGTTTAGTTTGTGTTTACTCTAAATGTAGTTTGTGCAGCTGAAGAAACAAGCAGGTGTGAGGACACATACCTAATGCGATGGACTGCCCTTCAAAGTTATTGTCCTTCAGCACTTTGATGATCTGTTTCCCTCCTGTGTCGGGGTTTGTCCATCGACCGACCTCACACCCTTTGATGTCGTATCTGTGAAACGAGAACGCAACAGCTTTTATACGGTCATAAAATGTGTCTGAAAGACCACAAACTGTACGAGAAGGTGGTCTTAGCCTCTGATAATAGTGTCTTCAATCTGAATTATTTCTATAGACCAGCAGGGGCCAACTCATAGGCAGCAGAAAACAGTCTAATTGTCCCACTCCTCATTTGATTTATTCCTTTAGTAAACATTTTCCTAATGAGTTTATGTTCTCAATGTTTAGTATCAAGTCTTCTCCAATACAGCATGGTGGTGAATTATAGTCCCATTTAGAGTCAAATAAACTAAACAGAATAAACAGAAAGCAGGGGAGGACTTAGGGTGGGGCTACCTGTGATTGACTAGTTGATACCACAGCATGTTTTTCAGTGTCCAGTTGTATCAAAGACACTTTAAAGAGCCAACTATTAACATTTCAAACAGTGTATTTTGTTTACTCGCCGTTTTTTAGCTATCCAAAAACATCATATTTAAATGACCAAATGTTTTAAGTACTGCGTTAGCTGTTTACTTTGTGTTTGCTAAGTGCCAACTCTTCTCCATCTGCACCCTTTAATCCAACCACCTTGCGCTAAATTAAACTAAAATGGAGTCTGCAAAAAAGCATCTGAGGCTTCATTAAGTATTGCACAAAACCAATTGTTAAATTCATGATTTCTGTTTCCACTTCTTACACACAGTTTATGGGAAAGATGGCCGCAGTGGCGATTCCAGAGCCTGTTAGGGCCCTTTAGGCAGAAATTCAAAGAGGACCCCTCGAAGCAGCGTTTATCACCAATGTGTCAAAAATATTCTGACTATATTTGCCTGTCTTTCCTGTTAATAAGCAGTGCCACTGAACGGGCGACATAATGAAGTACAAAGATACTTTACCTAATGTTGATCCTCTCATCGGGGTAGAAGACGCTCTGCATCACAATAAAGTACTTCTGGAGAGCAGACAGACAACACACTATCGTTAGTGCTGTACTGTACTCCTATAGTGAATGTATTTACCTGATATTTATCATGTTACCTTTTCTTCATTTGGGATTATAATCCTGTGAACACCTGGGAAGTGGAAAGAAGGATGCATTTAATGAAACCAGCAGTATGTTGTATTCCTTAGTATATTGAAATGAAACCTGTTTACAGCCCATGGTACAAAAACAGTTTTGGTTTCTATACCTAATTTCTCTCTTTTTATTAAGGGTTCAAGTTATACATAAGTAGGGGCGTAACAAAGCTTATCATGGTGGTAAAGGAGCTCCTCTTACCCAGGAATCTCACAAGGAGTGAATGAGGGTATTTCTCCAGGTGGTCCATGTATGGCTGCAGGTTGGACAGCAGGAACCGGACCTCTCGCCCGCTCTGCGTCTTCAGGAAGTATCTCTTGTCATTCCTAAAACGTAGAAAAACCTCATTAAAACAAAAAAAAATATGATATTGAAAATTTCTTCATAACCCCAGTAATGTTGCATGTAGAGAAACTACAGTCTTTATTGAGGATTTGTTCCTACAGATAATACAGAAAATCTTCCAATGCATCTTTCATCTGTCCTGTTCTTATTTTGTTTATGTTGATGTGAACGCAGGCATAAACGCGTCATTAGTGCTGAACCATATATAGGAGGTTTCAGAGCAGGTTTCAGAGCAGCATAAGCTGCCAAGTATACAACTTCATTGTCAGGGAAGGTCTTTGTTTACTTCATCAAAAAAAGATGCCAGACCACATCCTGCTCATATTTCAACAGCATGGCTCCCTGATAAAACAGTCTGGGTGATAAACTGGCTTGCCTGCAGTCCTGATGAGGCCCCCGTTGAAAATGTTTGGAGCATTATTTAACAAAAACAATACAGCAAAGGACACACAGAACTGTTGATCTTCTGGTCAGCTTTTGAACATCTTGAAAGTGGAATATCTTACTGGTGTGTTGTTAAAATACATGTTGACACAACAGACTGGTAAACATGACCATGCCCAAACCTTTTTTTAAACATGAGGCTGGTATTCATTTTGGAGCGACTCTCTCCCCCTGACATTTCCTGTCTCTCTTCAGCTGTAATATATATATATATATATATATATTTATTTGATATAAAATGTCTCTTAGTATTCTGCAAAAACTACTGAAGTGCAGAGAAACTGCTTTCCTCACACACAGGAGCAGATGACACTCTAAAGTTCTGCTAAATACTATCACACGTACAGTCAGGTTTCCTGTGGTCATGGTAACCTTTTTTAAACAATTTTTTGAGATGATATTTAAAGATGTATACCAGTGTTTGACAATCTACTTGCAAAATGTATTGAGCTAAGCTACCTAAGTTACTCAAACACATACTTAAACGAAGCTTGAGGAACCAAGTCCTTTGCTTTCAATTACAACAAGCATGAAAAATTAAGTTGATAGGGCAGTCAGTGATAATGTGTTAATCACCATACAATTAAGGTCTAAATTTAAGGCATTAAATGTTTAAATATCCCAAAGCGCAAAGTACTTTAGCCACCGCAGTGTGTACCATCAGCTGTACTGATGCAAACAAATCCACACCACTGCGCCTTTGAATAACTTACTCTAAAAACAGCCAGACGGCTCAGTGAACAAACCAAAAGTAACATGCACCATGGTACATCCAACATTTCACTTTTTTATTGTTCCCTTTAGCTATTTTCATTTACTTTTTAATCCATCGCACAACTTTTTTTCTGTAGTTAATTTAATGTTCTAACCTTCGATCTATACTGGATGTTCCTTATTTTCTTTCAAAATAAAAGCAGTTTTTAAAAATCCAAACAGGGAGTAAAGTACCCATAGCTAAAACATGAATATAAAAAGTCGAAGCCTGAGTGATGTCACCCATCTGTTACTGCAGGGGGCTTTGGAGTTCCATCGATGGCTGTCTCCATGCTGGAAATCCTTTTCTCACCCTAACTTTCAGTTTACCTAACGACAGGCGCATAAGAGCTGTAGCTGGGGCGGGTTTTAAGCCTCCTGACAAAACATATAACGCGCCCGTCTGTCAATCAGGTCAGCTACATGCATGATTGTGAATAATGCTTATCCTTCATAAAATCTAAACGGATGAGTTACCAAAAACTCATCCATACCCTCCTAGAGTGTGTGCTGACCGAGATATGAGCTAATAAAACATATATATATATATATATATATATATATGTTTTAAACAGGCTGTAAATATGATAATTTCTGCTGTAAAACGAGCTTCTTTTAATGAGTGTGTATGTGACCTCCGGTGCTTCTGCAGCCAGCCTCAAGTGGACACTTAGCTAACTGCAGGATTTTGCACTTTTGAATTGGCTTTATTTTTCAACACTGAAGGTTGCCACTTGAGCGTCACACAGTTCACACAGTTCACACAGTACACATACAAAATAAAAGCATAACAAAAAACTGAGAATAATGTGATTTTGTGATCAATGCCGATTTAAAAAAGTTATTGTTTGACAGCTTTAGTACTTACAGTAACACTACTATATACTGTATAGTGCTGTAGACTTCATGCAGATAGGACAAATGATGTGTCTTGTTGATAAGATTTGGACCAGCTCCGTTCTGGATGAACCATCACACATCACAGGACACACAGTGCCCCACAAGACGAACAAATCATCACTAACTGATGGATTTGGACATAAACAATCATAGGTTGATGATGTAGTTCCTTTACATTTTGCATAAAATACATGAATATTTGAGTATGTTGATGGTGGTGTGTTATGTGACTGAGTTTTTGCACTTCATGGTCAGCACAATAAGATTTATATTATGTTAGGAATTAGCATGAGATGAGGTTAAGTACATGTACAGGGTAGTGGAATAAAGGACTTTGCTCACGTGACGAAGAAATTGGCCTTGCTCTTGGAGTTGCTGACAAACTGAAGGTAGCAGTCGTCTGAGCAGAGGGACTTCATGTAATCCTCCTCTGGGATGTCCAGTGAATGTCTCAGTTTAGCAAACACAGGTGCAGCAAATGTCTGCATCTCAAAACCCTGGAAGGCAAAGATAACATATGAGGTTCGAGGTGTGCATAGTTTGCTTTATATTTCTTTAAAGGAAATAAAAAAAGTTAGCATTGGCTAGGAGAGCACTATACCACGTTTTCTCCACTGGAGGAAGCACCCTAATATGACCTAAAACAAGTTTTCTCATTTCCATACAGGGATTCACATCATCACCATCCCCAGGAGCAAATTATTGTCCAATTATGCCCATAAGTATCTCAACATTTACTCTGGATTTGCATCTCTTTTGGGCTGAACTTTACTTTAGAAGATACTCTAGGGATGGGTAAAACATATACATGTAAAGCATGATCCTGGTCTGTAAACAAGTAAAAGATTCAAAAATGATAAATGTTTAAAAAAAAAGTCCTCTTGCCTCATGAGTGTGAGTTTCCTCTGCCTTGAAATGTTCAGCTGTAAGTGTATTCTGTGCAACATAAAGACGTGTTTATTAGAAAACTTACTTCTTCATTGTTTAATATTCATACAACCATTGGCTTATAATTAGAGGATACCTCACCTGTACAGGTGAGTCCACAGTGGGCTGAATAGCTGCCTGCATGCCCTCTTTGATCTTGGCCGTGAGGTGGTAAAACTCGTGCTCAGGGTTGATCTCAAAAACTCCCAGCATCCTCCATCTCTGTCTCAGATGCCACCAGCGTCTCCGTCTGGTCTGCGTGGAGGCTCCAGCAGCTTTTCTCTTTGCCATCTGTCACAGCAGCAGAAATCATCAGTCATCAGTTAAGTATACTTCAGATTTAATGATGATGAGTTTTTTATTTCAGTTTTCATTTAGCCAAATCAAACGTATATACAGACACAAACAACAGGAATACAAAAAGGAATACAAGGAGCATCAAAGGGCACCTTGTGGGGCACCTTAGGTTGGATAAAATTCTCAGATATTTGTCAGAAAATGTCTTTAACTATTTCCATCAATTCCAGGTTTTGGGGTCATATTTATGCCATTTTCATGGAATAGCTCTTGTACAAGCAATTGACAGTGTTTTATATTAATACCAGTCTTTTTCCTCTCTCACACTGAACCAAGATGCAGGACCTTTCAGCATGAAGGAAGCCATATCTAAAAATCTTTTTCAAAACCAAACATACAGTCACCCAAAATGTCTAAAATTTATGGGAGTTATTGTCGTCCAAATGTCCACAGTGTCTCCAGTGTCTCCAGCAGGGATCTGTTATAGAAACGTCCAGAATATAAGGTTAAAAACGTTCTCATACTTCTTTTATTTTAATCCTAATGTTGACATAGAAATGAAAACGCTTAAACCTGGATTTAAAGAAGGTGTTTTCAAATTGATTTTAAACAAATGAAATGAATAACCACAGTTGTACCAGTTGACTCAGAATTGTATCAGTGAAACATTATTCCCACTTTCACACGTCGCCGACGCAGCAGTGGGGGCCACTTAGGGTTAAGTGTCCTGCCCAATGACACGTTTACATGTGTCTGCAGGAGCTGGGGATAGAACCCCCAACCTCCTGAATGAGAGACAGGAACCACTGAGCCACAGCTGTCAAGTTAACTCTGCATGTGTTTTGTGAATTGAACACAAATGACTCTGTTGTCCTACAGAGTCATTTGCTCAGGTTCAGCTGGTGCAAAAGCTACACAATCCTTTTTGTGTATCAGGCCCTGGGTTTATAAAGTGAACATCCTGCCATGCTGTCGCTCCTACACACTGACGTCAGCAAAAAGAGTGCAGATATTCTAAGTCCATGTTGTTGCATGGAATTCTAGTGTGTCTAGTGTCCATTTCTCTGACTTCAGTGATTTTTGAAGTCTCAAGTTAATTGTCAGTTTTCCATAATTTAGATTTCTCTATCCCATGTTCCTAGGTAGTGGGATCCACGTTACCCCCCTTCATAGTGATAGATTTCTACTACCAGCTATTAGCAGTATTTTGACCGTATACGTCTTTCCTTTACTTTTCCATTTCCTTCTAAAAGATTATAATTACACAAATAAAGTAACTTGCAGTTCATTGATAATCCATATCTAAGCATCTCGCAAAGTGTTGTGTACCATTTTTCAAAACCTATAGATTTGATCATTTACAAACTCCATGTAAATGATCTGCAGCTAGAGCAACAAACTGCACCACAGAGACACGAAGAACATCAGAAATCAATGCAGCATCAGAGAGAGAGGAGATTGTTTTTTGGTTTTTCTCAAATAATGTCGTGAAAAGACACATAGGATGGAGCTCTCTGGACGAGTCTTACTTAATGTTAGATGGATTATTTATTAGTGTCGTTTATGTATTTTTATGTTTCCGGCTGCAAACAAACTTCCCTGTGGGGACCATAAAGATACATTTGACCTTTGAGTCTTTCTGAAAAACATCTATACTTGACTGAAAACCTTTTACAACATGAAGCATGCAGTAGTCATCCCTGTGAGTGTGAGCTTGTTTTGTATTTGTGGAAGTGGAACAAACACAACATGAAGGAATAAGAAATACAGGGTTCAAAGGCAGATACAGAGATATTGGTAAAGGAAACATCTGTTGTGCCACCGTCTGTAGATGGTGATGAAGTCACAAATGTGTATATTCAGGGCGCTCTTACCTTGAGTTGCTGCTCCGTCTAGACCGTAAAACACAGAAAATGGTTTCATACAAACTGTCTATTCATACACAGAGTTTAAAATGAGCGCTGTCTTTGTGTATCTAACGATCACCTCCTTTACTAATTCTTGTACCGCATTCCAGACAGGTTATGCAAGCTCTGCAGGGTGTGTCACGCACAGAGGAAAAGGTGTGTTTCCTGTGTGTATCCTCAGTGAAGACAGAGGTAACCCTGAAGAGAGCAACCACTCATATTACACGTTTTGGAAACACACATGTAATGACTATATGTGGGACTTTAAAAAATGTTTCTGAGAGAAACTGTGTTGCTCAGATTCTGTTACTTTGGGGTGTTAACCACAGGGTGTGTGACGGGTTACAGAATTATTTGTCAACCTGATCTCTCAGAAATATGTGGAATAACCACAACCTCGTTATCACTGCTTTGTAGGGTTACTAACATGGAGGAAACATGTGGATGGAAAATAGTGACAGCAGCAGACAGGACAGCAGGCAGGTCAGAAGGAACTCCAGCTGCACCTCCTGCTGGTTGGATGGAATAAGGAAGGCTTGTTCCTCATTGTAAAGCCGTTCTCTTTAACTCTGTTGAAGTATTCTACCCATTATAGAAGCAAACCTAAAAAGGCTACAACATCACCATAGGTGCTCACCATACCTGCTGTGTTAGGTCATTCGCTGTTTGCGGTAGCCATACATTTTTGTTGTTTTTCACTGCAGGAAGGACGGCAGGTTTTAGTAAGAGAAAAAAAAAACACTCTTTGAAGGTGACTGTATTGCTCACAAATGACTTTTTCTAAAATATGGACATCAGATACAGGAAGCCATTTCTGATGCTCACAGGACTTAAAAATAATTTCATTACCACAGTAAAAGGCTTTCACATCAGGGTTATGCTTATTTCTTGCTTAATTTGTTAATAAGGCCTAACGAAGACTGTATGGCCTCAGGCGCCTGAGGAAGTTTGGCCCTCGGCCCAAAATCCTCAGACCTCAGACAGTAGAGAACCTGTTACAGAGTGAAGAAACGGAAAAGAACAAACACGTTTAAAAAGCGCTTCATCGACCTTTTGACATTTCTTTCCCAGGCACACATTCCCGACCCGACACAGACGATGGCTCTGCAACCCACTTATGGGCCCTGACCCACCAGTTGAGAATGATCCAGCATTGAATAGATGAATAGTGTGTAATGTGTTCCCTCTTTGTTCTGAGGCTTCACAGTAAGCAGTCAGTACTGAGGGGTCAGGGTCCACATCAGGATACAAACTTTCCCATCGCCTGTTAGTTTCACTTTCACTTCCTGTTTCTGTGGAATTACACTGAAATATAAAATGGGAACACATGCTGACTCTGCAGAATAGACTTAAGTTAAATCAGAACAGAAGTACAAAAATGTAAAACAATATCCTGCAACTCCAGTAAGACGTCTTTACTCAGAATTATTTCACAACAAAGAATGAATAATCTTATGACGCTCATAAACGTGTCATACTTCTGGATTCTATCACAGATGCTAAAAAAAAAAACCTCAGATGCTGATTTCCTTGAAATGTCTGTGTTTCCCCTGAAATGAAGGCATCATGTTGAAATGAACTTAAGTTATTTTGCATGCTGTCCTGCAGAAGGGAAGAGAGGGAGATTCATTTTATAGACAAGCTAATGTTTCTCTAACATGTGTAAAGATAAACACACAAACAAAAGCACAACATGTCCTTCATTAGACTCTGCAATCAGAGAAAATGATGATGACGAACTGTTACTGCTGTACAATGTTCAGATAAATAAATAAAAAGAGAATGAGATGCATATGTTTTCATTTCATTCTTTGAAGATTTACAGGAGTGATCAGATTGGATCAAATCATGGAAGAAGAAAAAAGGGTGAAAAGGATTGTGATTACTTTGACCCCAAGAACGTCTGGAACATCATAATCCCAGCAGTGGATTCAGACTGGTTAACAAGAACTATAATATACATAAATATGTAAAACAAACAAAACATTTTAACATTGTGGTTATTTTAAGACATTTTATTTTTATTTTTAATTCTTGCTGAATCTCTAATGTGGTAAAAAGATGGTTGACCTCAGCGTTGTAAAAAAAAAAAAAAAACACCAAATAGCATCAATATCAGCTTTCAGTTTTTATTGATTTTGGCGACCCCTGTGGACAAAGTATGTCAGTTCACATACTGTAGAGCTCTGGTGACCTAGATTTGTTCATCTTCTCCAGGAGGCGTGGTCTACTCAAAGTGTTCTGTCAGTCACTCGTGTCCTTTATTTCCATGTCCTGTTGCATCAGCCTGACAGCGGGACTTTCCCTCAATCCCAGAGAGGAAGAGAAACTGAGGAGAGACCTTAATTATTGTGAAACTGAAACAGTCATTCAACCGACTTTAATCACCTGCTTCCCTCATCTCCTTAATTAGAGCAGAAATGTAATAATAAATGTTTAATTGTATTTCTACTGATACTGATTGTACTTGATCACAAACTGTATGCACAAGACAAAATGTTTCATATGTGCAAAGAAAATGTGAAGAGCCCGAAATGTAACAACGACCCAAAATGTTGTAAAAAAATGTAATGAAACCCAAAATGTAAGAACTGGTCCATAATGTAACAAGATGCTGAGCCCAAAACGTAAAAACTGTTTGCCTAAATATTTTTCTACTAATAGTGTAATAATTGTATAACATCATAGAGTGGATTAAATGTAGTGGAGTATCATACACACACCATATGTACATTTTATATTTATATTCACTGCACCTGAAGTGCTTCAATTTCAATAACACTGGAAGGATGGGGCTGTTCTAACACTTTGGACCTTTAGTTTATATATCTATATACAGTCTATGGTTTTTATGTGTGATTGATGTTGCCGACGTCATTTATAGTCTTCTGTTCTCTTAAAGTGATGAAAGTGAGAAGATAACGCACAACACATTAAGAGGTCAATTATGGAGACATAAACATAATTATTTCAATTGTTGTTGTGTTTCCATTAAAATAGTATCGTAATTATGTATATGGGGGATGGGGCATTTGTGTATGATACTATGTTGTTGTATTGTTTGTTTTATGAAGATATGGACCTGAGATATGTGTCTGAAAAATCTTTAGTTTGAATATTTAATTGATCTATGCATTCTGTTCCAGATTATCTTGGATCAAAGTAATAACAATCCTTTTGAACCCTTTTTTCTTCTAACATTATTTGATCCAATCTGATAACTTTTAGATTACTTTTGGAAAAACTGGACCCGATCTCCAAAACACAACAACTCCTGGACTGAACTGAACCTGGAGCTGAGAGACGAGGAGTGATTCTGAGAAATAGGATGTTTGAGAGAAAAGGAAAGGAGAAGAAAGTTAGGCTGAACTGGAAAGTGGAAGTGTGTATGTGTGGTGTTGCTCAACAGAAATCCTGCATGTGTTTGTGTGGGCGTCCTCTGTCTATAAAACCAGAGTCGTTCTTACACTGAACACCATCAGAGTCCAGACTGAACACACACACTCACACACACAGAGGAGTGAGATCCAGAACCTTCTACAGAAACAACCATGAAGCCAGCTGTCGTCACCTTCCTCACCTGCCTGCTCGTCCTCTGTGTACAAGGTGAGAAAACTTCCTCTAATTAGTTTATCATTTGATATGACCACTATATGATGATAAATTATTATTTAACCGTTTAACTGTTATTTTACAGGCTCATTTTTCCTGCAGCTGTGAGTTCATTAGTTTGTGTTATTGTACATGTAATATCCCTGTTATTAATATTGTGCCACGGCTTTCCCGATCTGTGCATCTGTCACCATGGCAACCATTTGTCTATGTTTATTTTGCAATCCTAGTTTAAAAGTAATTACTCCATTATGTCAACAAAGTTCCAGGTCTGGTAGCTTTGGGGATCTCTTTTAATCCAGTTCAGTTTCTTTTTTTTCTGCTCCGATAAGTAAACGTAAAAAGTTGATCTTATTTCTGCTCGTCATTGAATCTGCGATGGCCCAGACCATGGCCAGCAAAAGGGCCACCGGATGAAGGTCAAATATTTAGTCAAGTGGATCGATTACCAAGCTCAAGAAGTTTTCCTAAAGAGGCCAGTTCCAAAATATATGAGCATCATTTATTAACATTTATTTGTGAAGGGACCATGTACAATATTAAAAATACATTTAGCCACTTGATGCATTGTACCAGATTAAGCTTAGAGCTAGTTTACATCTGCAGTCCCTCGTCATTTTCAGACTCTTCTCTTCACATGTTTGCATTAACGAAAATATTCAGAGAGAAATATTTACTCAGACATCCTCACTGGTTTCCAGTTTCATCTCCCCTTCCCTTTTTTGTCATGTTGAGGTTGTTTTCCAGTTTCACCAGATAGTGCCCTATATAGATACTGTCTCTGTGCACTGCTGTTAACTTTTTTCAGTGATGGTCCTGCTTCTGATAAATGTTCATCCTGCAGTTTTATGACTGATTTTTAAAGACGATCAGATGTTGATAATGAGCGTCTTTGTGTTGTTTCTTCACACAGGCCAGTCAGACAACGGATCTGAAACATGCAAGTGTTCAAACGGTTTTATTGGCAGGATCAGCTCTAAGCACATCAAGGCCGGGCCTTTCATACACGAGCCCAGCGTCTTCTGTCGTCACACAGAGATCACGTGAGTAAACTGAATTTAGTGACTTTATTTATTCTGGATCGTTCAGGTTGTTTTTCTAACCAGACTCTGTTTTGTCTCTCAGGATCATCACGACAGCAAACATGAAGAAATGTGTGAACCCAGAGTCACCGCTAGGAAAACTCATTCTGGGGAACAAGTAAGATGAGCTGAGCACCGTAAACTAAGAAAGTACTGCTGTGACCCGTCTCTGCTTTTTACTAACACTGTCAAATGTTGATTCAGTCAGAAGATGAAGGCAGCTGTGAGCGCGACGCCAGCCTCCCATCAGACCAACACCCTGAGCTCATCGAGTCCCAAGACCACGTCCAAGCTGTGAGAGTCTGAGGACCAATCAGAGGAAGAGAAACACTTTCATTTTTTATACGTGTTCACCAGCGCTGCATTTGTACTGTTAATTTAATACATGTAGAAAAGTTCTCAA